CGGGGCCCTGCTGCTGAGAGCTGGCGTCCCAAGCCAACTCTTAAGCAACAAGCCACTCGGCCGGCCCAAGTTTTTAAATAATTTACTTCTTAGAAAGATAATCAATATAATAGTCTTAAGAAATGTGAAACTGAATGACTGAAAATAAAATTATTTCATCTTGAATGAAAATAATACAATGGTGTACTGCTATATGACTAATAATGGAAGATTTGTGTGAAAATATAGAAATATATGCCAATATTACTCTGCTTTTTCTAGGTAGATTTTTTTATTATCTTGGAAACAATCTAGAGTCACTAGAATTTGAGATTCAGTCACACATTTGATACTAGCTAGCTTGCATATATTACTTTATTCATATCACATAAAAACAAAAATTAATTGACATAATTTTAGGATTCCATTTTCTCTTCACCGACTCCCATCTACTGTTATTTTTCTCTCTTTTTTACTAATGATAGAATTGGAAAGAGAATTTGATAGGCCCCCAAAACACTCTCCCCCAACCTAGAGGGATCTCCTGAGCTCTAAGCACATATTTCAAATTGTCCCTTTCTGTATTTTCTTAGCTGTCTCACAGGGGTTTCAAATTCAACTTATATAAAACAGAGCTCACTTTTGGGGAATATTTTCTTTCTTTTATATTTTCTACCTCATTTAATATATTCACCCTTTACCTAATGACCTTGCTAAGCCACCCGGGATTCATTTATATTCCTTGTTCATCCTTCACCAGAAGTCACTCTAAGTAACTCTTGAACTCACCAATCCCTTCCATCTTTATTACCACTTTCTTGTTTCAGGCTTCCTGCTCTTTTTGTTTCTTCACCTGGACTTAGGTGCTGATGTCCTGATTTGTCTACCTGGCCCCAGCAGTAGAGATGCTGGTCGCCCTTCACACTGACATCCAGGTAATCATTCTAAACCACAAATCTGACCCTGTTTCACACCATCTCCTTCAACCCACCCATTAACTGTTGAAAAGACAAAGAGCACTATTTCTGCCCTGTCCCCATATCCATGTCTTCATTCACTGTACACAGAGTCACTCGGCGCCACCATTAGTAGTTCTAGGATGCCATGCTTTCTTAGGCTAATCTCTCTGTGGAGTGGCCACCTGCCAAGCTCACTCAGGGACTCCTCCTCCTCTGTGCAATCTTCGCTAATGTCCCTGTTTTCCAAAGACTGCTCGGCTCCCACTTCGCCTTTCTATCCTCCCATGTGCCTTTCTCCTAGAATTTATTACATCAGACTGTGACTGTTTACATCTGCGTCTCCCTCTCCCCTTCCTCTCCACGACACCAAACTGTGTGCACCCAGAGAACAGGGCTCTCCTTTCGATTCATTTTATAACTGTTTTACCTGGCAGAGTGTCATTTGTGGACTCAGTGAACTATTTTTGCATTCAACAACTACTCAATAAATATTCATAAATGAAACCGTGAGGCATTCTAAATAACAAGCAATACCTTGAATTTACAAAATTCCTACTAGAGACCCTCAATATTGCCCATATTTCTCATATACTGCATGGCCTGTAATGGGCCAACCCCAGAAGTTACATGACACCACTTGTACTGTATCCAATTCATCACATAGTCAGAAGCCCACCCAGATTCAAAGGCAAGGTATATAGACCCAAACTCCTGATGGGAGAAGTGCCCCAAAATTCAAGGCTATTTAAAAACCACAGTCACCATCAGAGGATGTTAGGGAACTCACTTTTATTTTGAAAATGTATAAATAAAGGAAAAGAATCACTTATTCTGCTTTTCTGACACCAAGTGTATAAAGAAGTAATCAAATAGTAGGTGAAGAGAAATTTCTCTTTATAGAAATACTCCAGTTAATAAATGAAGAAGGATAAAATTAGAATATCACTACTTTTCAGTCCCTAATGAATCCTGGATCCAGACAGTGATCATTAAAGACTATTTAAAAAAAAAAAAAAGAGCGAGAGAACCAGACATTACCTTTCCAATTTTGGAAGCAGAAAACACTACCTACAAAATGGATTTTGGGGAAAATAAATGTGTCTGGTTCATCTAGATCCAGCTATCAACTTAGAGGAAACAAGAAAGAAAAGAATATGTTCACTGATAAACCAGGGACAATATCAGTACAATTCAGACACAGAAAAATTTTACAGGACAAACAGCCTGGTTTCTTCAACAAATAAATGAAAAAAATATATAAATAAAAGAGAGAGATGGGTGGGAACCTAGAGAAACCTAAAGGGGCATATCAACCAATCACAACAAATGGATTTTATTTGGATCCTGATTCAAATCAATAGAACGTAAGAAAACAAATGACATTTGGGAGATAATTGGAAATTTGATCACTGAGTCGATATTCAGATGTTAGTGTTTTAACACTTCTAGATAAGCTGTTGTGATTGTATTCATAAAAGAAAGTCTTTAAAAAACACACATTCAGAAATAATTACAGGTAAAATGATATAATACCTGAGACTCAAAATAATATAGGGAGGAGGTGATAGGTGAAATCAGAAATATATATAGTCCATAAGGTGATAATTACAGAAGTTCAGCAATGGTACATGAGGGTTCAATATAATATTTCATCTGTTTTTGTACTGCATTTTTTCTATAACAAATATTTTAAAAACACACTTTCCTAATTGCCCAGTGACCTAGGAATAAAGTCAAAACTCCTAGGGAAATTCTATGATGTACTCTGTGATCTGGCCCCTGCCTGCCTCTCCAGAATCATCTCTCACTCTCACTTTTCACCTACATTTAAGTTACATGAAACTAATAAGAGTTCTCACAGAGGACCATGATCTCTCACACTTCCAAGTGTATCCAAATTTCCCTTTTTCCAGAATGTCAAGCCCCATTCTTCTTCACCTGGAACAATTCACTGATTCTGTCACATTTACTTACGGCCAACTACAGGGATCAGGTTCTGCGCTGTGGCAGAGATACACTGGAGTGATGGACCGTATCAGTGGTTCCCTTGTCCTTTAGCTGCTGGTGAGACGTCTCCAGCGGGAGAGCTTCTCCAGAGGGAAGCACCAACAGAGGGTCGGAGGACAGGAAGAGTGAGACTACTGTATGTATTTGCCTAGCTCCCTCCCTGCCAGGTTGGCACAGGCTGGCTGCTTCTGCTCAGCACATGCTACTCCTATCAGGTGGTCCTTGCCAAATAGTTCTCTTTCGGGTACAGCTGACTGCTTCCCTGCTCTTCAGCTCAAGAGCACAACGCTATCCATTGCTGCTTCTCATGCACCTAGTGTGCTATATTTTGTAAAGAGTCAGTCCATGAAACTCTCCTCTAATTACCCAGCTTTAGTCTGCTTTCTCTTTCCTGTTCAGATGCTAGTTATACAATTGTAAGCAAAAACAACCCAAACCAAAAGCAACTATAAAAAGAACCTGACACAGATATAGGCTTAAAAGTTATAGAAGATGAAGAGTAAAGAACATTTTAAAAAGAGACCGTGTGTGCGATGGCCCTGTGGTATGAAAGAAGCAAGGGACGTGTGACTCTCTACTTGATTTCAGAGGCTACTTGAAAAAGAAAGCAAAGAGGGCAGTGGGAAAGAGTGGGGGATCAAAGAGAAACTCCATCTTGCAGGCCAAGATTGAATAAAGATATAAGTAAAGGTTCTGATTTTGATCCTGAGAGCAATGGGGAAAGTGTCGAACACTCTCCTTGCCCTCCAAGCCTAGGTAGGCAATCACCTTCTCTTCCATATTTATTTCCTGACAGCCTTCCACCACGCAATTGGGACTAGGAAACTCTAGCACATGGTAAATATTCAATGTTTACTGGATCAGTGCATAAATGAATGGGTAAAACACACGTGGCTAGGTTTGGATCTGTTTTGGTCACCTCTGAGAATTCTTCCTTGCACATAGCGTTCTTGAACTTAATCCTATCTGCTCTTGGCTGAGTCTTCTCCTGTAATTAGTATAACAACCTTTAGAAAGAAAGAGCTGTCTGTCAGCTACAACTCTGAAAATCAGATCAATCCCAGCCCAATTCTTTTACAGTTAAAAACCACTTCATTCTAGAGATGGCAGATGGAACAAGCAACGTCACCGCCTCAGGTAATGGACATTCTCGCCATAGTCACAAAATGGTATTCTGTTAAATCTCAGGAATTGGAGGTGATTAAGGAAAAGTCATTCGAAATCCATGAGATAAGCGAAAAAGAGAGATGTGTTGCTTTGTTTAGAACAAGAAATACAACCTTCTTGCTTTTAAGCATAATGTATAGCACAAACCAAGTGCTAACCCAGGGTTGCAAGTAGAAACTTAATTTTAATTTGTTTCATAAACTGATAGTGTGGTCTGATTTACACCAGATAAAATGATAATCATAATTTTAATTGGTTTCCTCATCATTCAATGATAAGTTGAAATACAGAGCTAAAACCTGCTTGAAATTACATTTACACTATATAAATTAACATTTTTAACACAGGCAAACAAAATTAAAATGCAAGGTGATCTCAATATTGTGACAACTGAATATTCATTAATGTCACTATAATGGTGCCTTTCTGTATTCAAGAACTTTGTGATAATGGAGATGCCCATCTTATGCTTAAGCAGACAAGATAAAGACGAAGGCAAATGACCACTTTCCTTGTCACTTAAACATTCAAGTCCTCAGTGAATCAAAAAAGTATCAAATGGCAAGGTTTCTGTAGCATGCTGGGATATGTCTGTGGCATAATGCTTTTTTTAATTAGCATGAAAACTTTGCATTTCATTCTGCTAGAAAATTAATCAGGAAAATTAACAAATAATATTTAGTTTTTGAAGTTCCAACAAGTGTGCATCAATTTTCTTAGTAGTCCATAGAATTATTGTTTGTTCTTATTTTCCCCATGCAACTCTACAACGAATAAAGTTCATAAATTGATAAGGCAGAAGAGAAAATTATACCAAAGTCCTGTGAAATGAAAAAGGCTTTGTGACTAAAATACAGTTTATTTAAATAAAACAGTTGCATTGCTCACCAAAGACGCCATAGTGAATCCAATGACTTCAATATAACCATCATCGTGACGCTGAGGTTCAAAATCATGGTGATCTCCTGGATTCCCCCAGGGCATTGTGCCAGCACAATATCTGCAAGATAAGGTTAAAAACAGAATTAAATGTATTCCATTACTCTCGTGATTATTATTAGACATTAACTTAGATCCAACGTTTATTTCACGTAAGAACGGTTTTCTGTTCTTGGCACAGACTTTGCAACAGAAGAGAAAATGGACTCATTATCATCTCCAAAATATCAATCTGTGAAAACGAGCCATCATTTCACAACAAAAGAATCCCATGGTAACCCAATTTCTAATAATTCATTCTTTATCAACATTTACCACTCTATGATTCATATGTGTCTGCTTTCTAGGAGATGCCATGAGTTAGGAATGGGTGGTTCCCGAATTTGGTCTTGGGGAAAGACATACGCATGCCAGCCAGTAGAAAAAGGAAAGGGAACTGCGGTGGGTAAGCATTCAATATTATAAATATAACTAAGATAATAAGTAACCACAGCAGAAGGGAAAGGAAAGTGAAGACAGAAGAGTGAAGAAGGGATGAAACAAAGATAGGCGATTAGAAAAGGAAGGAGAAATAAAGGAGTCTGGAAAAGTAGAGGAATAAGAATCCACAGTGGGGAGGGGAAAAGAGCAAGATGAAAAAGAGATACATAAAGAAAAGATGAAGAAAATGAAAGAAAGTTACTACTGTTTCCTGAGAATTTAGGTTCTTCCATTTAAACAACTAAGATGAAAATACTCCTGGAATAGGATTGTAGGTAACTACTGAGCATGGCCAAAAGTAATCAGGAGACTATAATATGGTTTCCTAGCCATAGATCTACATTTTAATTAAATCCAGTCTAAATAGAACTTACTTGCAGATTCTGTGTCTGAGCTGTCTGGTTTGCAAATAACAAAGGGTCACAAATCCATCCCTTCCAAAATCTTGGCTTGGGAGCTTAGAATCTAATTTTATGCCCGTGAGATAATGTGCATATTTTGAGACTAGTTAATCTTAAATACCCCTTTCTCCTGAGGTATATAATAGCACCAAAGAGAGCTGACATCTTGGTTAGAAAATGCTACTCTAATTGACCCTGGGTTTTTTTTTTTTTTCAAAGCAATCATCTGACAATGATTTTAAATGAATTCCATGCTTAAGTGAGCCTGGTTTCCTAACAGCTTTATGGGAAACTGAGAACGAAGATTTATTCAAGTGTATCCTTCTTGGGGGGTAGGGGGATTAGTAATTTGAGAATTAAATGAAAATGTTCCATTCCAGAAGGGTGCCTGGGGTAGTAAGGAGGGATAAGTATAGACCATGCAGAGTTTGAATCGCGGTGTGACTAAGAAGTAGGTGGTAGGATCTCGCTTAGTGTCTGACTAGACCTTTCTCTGCCTTGCTTGTTTGAGCCTCAGCAGAATTCGAAATGGTTGATGGTAAGGCTGGATAGGACTCTGGAAAGGCCAAGACAAAGTGGTTTCCTGCTGGTAGAGAGTCATCTTGCAGTTTCCGGTGGGCCATATTCACAAACACTGAAAATCTAGGACAACCAGCCATGGATGTGTGGGCGTGACCATGGCTGTGTACAGTGCAGCCATCCTGGAGTACCTCAAGGCAGAGGTACCCGGATTGGCAGGAAATGCATCAAAAGATTTAAAGGTAAAACGTATTACCCCTCATCATTTGCATCTTGCTATTTGTGGAGATGAATTAGACTCATTGCGGCTACAATTGCTAGTGGGGGTGTCATGGAAACACATGCACAAATCTCTGACTGGAAAGAAAGAACAACAGAAGACTATCTAAAGGATACCAGGATTTCTTATCATCTCAGGATTCTAAATACTCAACAGCTGTCCAGTGTTGGTGATTCCAGTGGACTGCATCTCTGTGAAAATTACAATTTTGCCTTTTTGTAATTCTGTTTGAGCAACTGGGAAGTGTAATTAGCTTTCCAACTAACCAAGTTTCTGCATTCAAGTCTTCACCATATATAAGTGTTACTGTAGCTTCAAAGAAGCTATTGATCTTGAAATAGTGGGTTTTGATTGAGTTGACTGTAGAAAACTGTTTGGATTTTAATTGTGATGCAGAAGTTATAGCAACAAACATTTGGTTTTGTACAGACATCATTACACTCTAGTGGGTAAGTTCAATAAAGGTCATATCCCAAACTTAAAAAAAAAACCATGCATGCCATATCATGCAAAAACAAACAGACAAACAAAAAACAAAACCCCCACCTACCACAGAGAATACTAAACAAACCAAGTACAGCATAAAATTATCAGACCTGCAAACCCTTAGTAAGCCATTAAGATAACCAGTTTTCATTGTTTGTATCTGGAAATTTTCTATAATGAAAACAGAAAACCTCAAGTCAAATACAGTATACATCAAACCAAGGAAACTAATATGAACAGAGCTTACCTGGGTATATTTAAAAATACTATACACTGGAACTTCAGTTCCTGAATCTTTGGGGTGAGGTCTGTTCCATCGCACTGAAACAATCAAAGCAGAAAAAGCAAGGGTTCTGAAGTAGTCACAAGTCTAAAAAAATTATCAAATATAACTGGGTTGACAAAGCATATATCATGGTCTTCCCTTTACCCCATCTCTGCTTAAGGGAATCCTGTTACTCTGATTGAAAATTCATTTGGATTATAGCTTTACCAAACCTAGGAACTACCATCATTCTTAGCTGTGAATTATTATTAGATATTCTGGCTTGTAGTATCAACATTAAGAGATTTAGAAATGCTTAAAAGAAGAATGAAGCTTCAAGTTGAGGCAGTAGCAATTTCTGCCACAGTCATCTGAAGCAAACCATAGTCATAGATATAATGGTTACTCTTATTTGTTTTTTTGAAGTTATTGTTTATTTTGAAAATGTTAAACATAATATTTTTTTAAATTCTTTAAAAGGGATATATACTGCAAACTTTTAAAAATGTATCTATTATAAATTAGTATTATCTCCATTAGTGATTTGCTCTTATAAATTCTATCTTATAGACTTTGACTAGTCTTCTGAGATCAACTAACTGCTTTCCTGGAGCCTGGACTTCACCCTGGGTCTCAAGGGCTTCAAGTCTTCAGGTCAATTTGGCCTCAAACCTTTGTGTGTGGCTTACCTCATTGGTTAGTACTTTCCTCAAGACTGTATCCTCTGACTAATCAAAGAAAAGGCTTTCATTTCCCTTCTCATTCAACCACTGGTGACAAAAGTCAAAAGAGGAAAACTGTTGTCACCGACTATAGGCTTCTCAGTGTCAAAGGCATAAAGCCTGCTTTTATATTTGTTCTCCTCACACCTTCATCACAGAATTTCCCCATTATTTTCCTGTGGAGAGAAGAGGAAAACATCCCAGGCTCCCTGTGAATTTTTAAAGATTTCTTCAGGAGGAGTTTCACCGAAGAACAATGATTCTGCTGACAGTCAACGGTATTCCTTTCTTTTCCCAGCTGACCTTAACACAGCCTAAGTTTCATGAGTGTTCTCGAAAACTGTTTCTAGAAAAATCTTACAGTCCTAAGTGAAGTATTTCAAAATGTTATTTAGCTAGGGGTCATATTCTAGACATTGATTGAAGTGCTTTTTATAATACTCTCAGATACTAAGCAAACATGAAGTCTCCCAATTCATTTAAGGACTTGAAATAAGTTGATAGATGACTACATCAACGAAGAAAAACTGTAGGCATCTTAAATTACCAACATCGAGTGATGTAAGCAGCTAACACTTTTAAAAAACAGAATGTATTAATAACAGAATGTATTAAAAAACATTAATAGCATGCAAAGCAGTAGTGTTGCATCACAGAAAAAAGCTAATTAATATTATCGTATTTAAAACCACTCTTTTTTTTAATTTTCAGTTTTTTCTTCCTGGGAAACATGTCGGTGGTTCTGGGAACTCATCAAATTACACAAGGATGGGCACTTTACAATGTATTGTGCTTTACAAAATTTTCTTACATATTATTGCATTTACATGTTACAACTCTTTAGAACAGCAGTTTTCAGCTTTTCCCTACTTCACACACACAAAAAATAAGAACATCTGCATGCAATATATATTCCTGTGTACAAGCACACATACTGATAAGTCTACACAACAAGAAAACACAGAAGTAGGGAAAATAATGCTGTATGTAGGTTTCTGTTATTGTCCTCTGTTTTTGTTTTTTTTTGGTTTTTTTGATGTAGTATTTATACACACATTTTACATTTATGTGAGAGATCATTAACTATTACCTCAGACACACTGGCTTCACCCTGTAGCAAAAGTTGCTCCGTTGTGATATGTGTATCTAATTGTACTAGCTAACCTTCCACCCTTTCTGTTTCACACTCAAGAAAACATACAGTGATGTCACTATAAGAACATGCTTGTGCCACAGCACAATGGTCAACAATTGTCACTTCAAAGACATGTCTGGTTATGCCTGTTTTAAATGAAGAAAATAAAGTCTTCTGAAAGTTTCAATGAGTCCCTCAGAATCATATACCTCATAAAGGTAGACCTAGGACTGAATCCCAAATGTCTACACTTAGTTTCTGCTGTTTTGTCTCCTCAGAAGAAAGGATATGATTGCAGAAACCGATCCACCTGGAATATTACACGTACTGACTGGTATTAAATCTTTCCTAGTTATTTGGCTGCCATCTTGGCCTCTCTGCAAGCTTCTTTTGATCCCTGCTATATAACCATTCATGTCTGAGACATTTATCATCAAAAGGACTGTCAGATGTGAAAGGCAAACTCTCTAGTGGTTAGGAAGTATACAGGGTTTAATTTCAACCCAGCTGACTTGAACAGTGGATGCCATTCAATATGGCCACTGCCTACCACTCATCGGTTCTCTGGGCAGGTGCTGCTGATATAGTTCCAAATGTGAGAAACACTGGAAGGAACAGGAGAGCATTTCTGGCTGGGTGGCAGGCAGCTGAAGAAACGGGAAGTTTGAGGTAATGCTGCTGCTGCTTACATTCAACAGCCATCATTTTATCAGAATAAAGATCTTCATAGTTCAATGGACCATGTGTCTTTCATGTATTTAGCTTGAAAAAGGCAGTATTTCAGTTTTCAAGAGTCACTACTTGAAAAAGATCCTGGCTTTTCATTGCCACTGCATGAGAACTGAAACATCTGACAGTAATGCTAAGGGTTACACCACGAGTGGTAAAGGCCTCTGTCTCTTGTTTTAAGGGATTTAGGAGATTCATGTTTCATATAAGCTTTATTGGTGACTACAAAATTTAGAAATTTGTATCCTCTCGTGCTCCTCTGTATTCCTCCATATATCCATTAGCTTAAGATCATATATTTTTCTCTATTCTCATGTATATCGCTTTTTTTTTTATATAGCTGAGCCATCCTGCCACCTGTTGGCAGCTCAGCGGCTGCTCAGCTCGGGCCGGGACTCGAACCGCTGTTGCTCAGAGCTTGCACTCTTGAGCGAGCTCTTAACCAACTGAGCCACTCGGCTGGCCCCTCGTGTATATCTGTTATTCTGTCCCCTCTTGTCACATATTCTATTCTTTATCCATGCCATATAAATTCAAGCATTGCTATACTCCCATTCCTTCTTCCCCATCTATACATTTCTCTCTTTTTTCCTTTACTTATACAAGTGTGTGCACCAAAGTCATGTTCATCCCTTCTTTTAACTTAGTTACTCTAAGAAAACAGTTGATGTCTGGCCTCCAACCAGTGTTTCCCCCCCCAAATCTTGGATAGGAGCCCAGGAAGAAACAGCACACACACAACGTATCTATTCAGTGATGAAGAACCCTGACCAGGTTAGAGAGCGAGTCACCAGAAATAATGAAATCAAAGCACTTCTCCAAAATGAAGACTCCTCACACAGCCCTGGAATAAAGATATTTGTTTGGCGAGCGTTTAATTCTGCCTCAAGACAGCTCAGCATCATTTCTCTGACTGACCCCACCTCGGTCAGTTTTCATTTCTCCCTTTGTGCCACCTCCATATTAGACACGTACTGAATGACCACATTTATTATATTATTCTGCAAGAATTTCTGTGCCCTTCTCCATGACCGAACTGTGAGTTTATGCAGGAATGACACTAGACGTCTTATTTATCTTCATCTCCAGTGACTGGGGGGTGCCTGACATAAAAGCTCATAAATGTTATTTTAGCAAATGACACTAAATGATCTCTAAAGTTCATTGATTAATCTAAGTCTATAAACTGGTATTTGGGGTTCAGTTTTTGTGACATACATATCCACGCTCAAGTGAAATAAGTCAACACATTCAATACTTACAACAACTTTGACGTGTTTGGATAGATCTCTGGAGCTTCTCTGTAGGAAATCAGAAAAAGCTGCCTATATCATGAGGAAATAAAGAAAAAAATCCTTAATTACATGGTTATGCCAAATCCTTGCTTCTCTATTATAGATAGTTCCTCAGGATTCCAAATTATGCAAAAACATAAAATCAAGTTCTACTTTTGTTGAATCCAATGTAAAGTAGCACGGTGGCTGTTAAGTTGAAATCTTTTTGTTTTCAAACTATAACCAGTAATAAACTTTAAGATCACAGTAGGAGAGTGAAAAAGTAGATAATTTCAAGGGTCAGTTGGAAGACTTGTTTTGACTAGCTTTCCTGAACTTCCTACTTCTCTGCTAGGTGCTGACATAATCTTTAATTTGACCCTGGGAATGTCTTGCTTCGCTCCTCTTTTATTTCAACTCCCTCGATTCAGGGGTATAATTTTTTTTCTCCAGTGGTAAAATTTAAATGGCACACTTTTAAAAAACTATTAATACTTTGGAGGCCTTTTTTTTTTTTTCTTTCTGGCCATTCTCCCCCAGGATGCCCTTGAGCAGAAGGAGCAAGATAAAGAAGGGTCTCCCTTTAACCTCATATGAAAAACTTCCCACCCTCTGCTAATTTCTCATCCAAACACCGAGGCACATGTATCCTTGTGAAAACTATATTCTTACCCAAGGCTCTCCATACGTTTTTCAGTCTGCCTAACTTCTCCATTCTCTAGGTTGGCTTTGATGTTTGTTCTTCACACCACTTGTTCAAAACCATCCCCTCAGCACAACATGGAGCCTCAGGGCTTTTAAGTTCAAAGATGATGGACACCAGCTCTTTTTCTGCCAATTAACTTAAGAACTGCATCCTTACTTTTAGTCTTAACCAAGTCATTCAACAGTAATCATACATAGACTTGCATGTAAACATCCGAGATGTATATATAATGATTTTTAATATAGTTAGCACCTTTATTACCCATAGTGAATTAGTATTAATTAATATGTAATAATTACAAAATGAAATACACACTCACCCCTGCATAGAACATTTTATTTCGAAAACGACTGTTGAATTTCTCGGGATTTGCTTCTGTGAAAGGGAAAAGGTAGTTTTGTTACAGAGACTTAATTAAAGGTAGTGACTTAGAGAAGCACCCCTACTTCCTCCCCCTCACAGATCCAACAGTTTCATTATCAATTTTCCCTTAGGTACAGGCAGTTGTCACCATTGTCCACTGCTACAAAATACAGCCCCAAACTGGCAGTATCAGCATCAAGGGGGAGGCTATTAAGAATGCTAATTGTTAGGCTGTCCCCCAGATCTATGCAACTGAAACGTCTGGAGTTGTGAGGTCTGCGAGTCTGTTCAATGAGTCTCCAGGTGGGTCCCATGCACAGTAGGGGGAGAAATACTCTGAACTCTGTTCAAAATAGAGGACTGGCAGGGATCCAGGGAAGGGCTGATAGGGGAAGAGGAGGAGGTGGAGGGGTGATGATTTGCTTTGATCTCCATAGGTCATGGCTTCCATTACTATCTGTGCAGCTTCCAAATACAATTGAATATAGGGAATTTGAATAAAAAGTTGATGGAGAATTTCTTTCAAATTTTGCAAAACCTCCTAGCTACCATCTGCACTCATTTGTGACAGGCCTTGAAAAAATCAGTTGATTTAGTGGAGATATATATGTATATATCCATGCAGATCACCTGCAGAATGGACTCAGGGCATATGACAGCAAAGGCTCTGGATGAAAAAAAATAGTTTAATTTTGAGTTTGCTCCTGTATGTTATATAGGTTGAGGACCACAACAAGATTAAGTGAGAATCTACATCAGAGATTTTTTCACATGAATTCAAGGGATTTATAAAATCTCTAAATGAAATACTATTATTTCCTTACATTATTTCTAATAAAATTCCAAGACATTTCAAAGGAACCCGCTGACAGTGTTTTTGCCTTCTGCCATTTTATTCAATATGCTCATTGATCCCTTCTTAGGGCTCCGTCTTTTTCCAAGTCATTTCTCATTAGACAGCTGGCTGGCTAGCTGAAACTCCCTGTTAGTCTTAACCCTATATTTGAATGGCAAATTCCAAACGTTGTTGTCTAGATGAAGAAAAGTAGCAAAGAGCTGACTGACTAAGACTGGGTAGGATAACAGCTACATGATCTCAGGAAGTAATTCTGGCCAATTAATTATTAATTATTTTACAGGATTATTAGAACATCCTATTAGCATAAGACATAGAAACTGGGTTAAGGTGTGCAAACTTCAAAACAAGGTACTATTTTTATAGATTGGTTTTTGACAGTTATCATCAAAAAACCAATTATAGTTACATTTACAGTTATCAGCTACAATTCCTATATTTCAAACCTCTCCGTAACCATTTACTCTCTTCTACAAAATTAAGTACTGTAACCCTAGCAATAAAATAAAACTCAAGGTAAGGCATTAATTTATAGGATATAGTAAATAAAAAAAAGATAAAAATGGCATTAAGGGCTCTACCTCCCTGATTCCCACTCTTGGCCTCAGAGTTGACAATTTTATGGTCTGGGCCTTCTTCAGGATAAATTTGGCTGTTAAATGACATGTTTTTAACCTTTTTTTTCTTTTTTTTTTTTTTTACTCAGATTTGGCTTGGTTCCCTTTTCAGTTGTATTAACTCTTTCTTGCTTTATGGAACCAGAGACAAAAATGAGAATCTTCGTGGCTATGCAACTTATCACAGATACATTGGTACTAATTTTTTTCTTAAAGAACTCTGATCCAGCTATTGAGCAAGTTATAATGAGAAAATGGAAAAAGACACCCACAGTTCTGGCACAGAACTTCCTCAGGGCACCAATGTCCACTGCTATTAAGTGAATCATACTCCAACTATCAACATCTATTTTTTTGAATAATGTATGGTTTGGAAAATACATCTTCTTGAGATTTTCCTGTGAGCCTTGAGGCACTGAAAAAGCTTTTGTGTGTTTTTTTTTCCTTTCAAGAAATAGTTTTTCTCTCAGAAAATATTCTGTAAGACCCAAAATGACTAGCTTGAGAAATAAACTGAGCTTTTGGTGATTTCAATCATACAGTTGATGAAAACAGTCACCTCAGATATAATTTAACTGGATAAAAGTCGACCAAGTAAGTAAACCTCAAAAATACAGATTTATCAAAACACTAGCATTCAGAGAGGTGTCAGAAAGACATAAAATGAAGAGGCAGGAGAATAACACATTTCCTTTGGCCATGAGGGTAGGAAAGTCGTGAGGTAAAGTATATCCTTCTCACTGCTCCAATGTATACATACTATTGACTCCCAGATTGAACCTGCCTTGGCGAGTGGACTCTTTTGTTGTTTTTAGATCTACCCTATTCCAAGCACAAATCAGACTCAGAAGCAAGGTTGGCCAAAGCTAAGGGAAATGTCTGCTCCTGTAAAGGCTGTGCCACTCCCTGTGAAAGCCAGGCCACAAGAAAGCAAGGAGGAGCCTACAAATCACAGCACTCAGTCATTCCTCATGGGCTACTAGAAGGAAGGGGTTGAGTGGCTGGAGACATCCGTGTATGTATAAGAGTTAATATGACTCTAGGGATGTGGACCAAGGGATGTGGACCCCAATTATATCAAGAGAAAGGGACATAATAAATTGGGAAGGGGCCAGGAAGAAAGTTTAAGGGCTCTTGTTCCTTAAGGAAGTTGTGTCTATTAACTGGTAGGAAGTAAACCATGAAAGGTCATTCTCAAGAAAGGCCAATAATACGCAGAGTGCCCCAAGACCCAATAGTTCCCCAATAGTGGAAGTATCTATGGCTTCTTGCTGCAGTTCCTAGGCTGCCTGCCTATTCTCCTCTTTCACAAGAAGAGCGTGTGAAGTAGTGAGACCCAAACACTCAGCGTGTATGTCTATGCCATTAACCTATTTCTAATCAGATTGGACACCAGTGTTCATTGTACTAATTTTCTATTCCTGCAAACTTGGCAGCTTAAAATATTCATTGATTTTCTTATAGCTCTCGAGGCCTAAAGTCTGGGCTGGTCTCTCCTGGGTCCTCTGTTTCAGGTCTTACCAGGACAAAGTCAAGGTGTCAGTTTGCAGAGCTCTTACTGAGCAGCTCTGGGAAGGATTCACTTCCAAGTTCATCCAGGTTGTTGAAAAAATCTATTTCCTTGCAGTTGCAGGAGTAAAGTTCTTTCTCCTAGCTTGCTGTTGGCTTGGCTCCATTCTCAACTTCTAGAAGCCTCGTGCATTCCTTGGTTTGTGATCCTCCCTTCATTGTAAAAGCCAGCAATGGTGTATGAAGTCCTTCTCACACTTTGAATCTATCTGACATCTCCTTCCGCAACATCTTTCTGACTTCCTGTCCTACCTTCTACTTCCGTTTTAAAGGGTTCATGTTATTACATTGGGCCTGCTTAGATAATTCAGAATTCTCTTTCTGTCTTCAGGTCACCTAATTATTAACCTTAACAACACCAACAAAGACTTTTTGCCACGTAAAATAACATGACCAACAAGTATGACACCAAATGGCAAAGGTCATGGAGGCCAAAATTCTACCTACCATCGTCTACCCTCTGGCCCCCATAATTCACATCCTTCACATAAGAAAAACACATTCACTCCCTCTCAGGTCCCTAAAGGTCTCACCCCATTATTGCATCAACTCAAATTCCAAAAAAAAAAATCTCATCTAAATCTCATTAGCTCAGACTTCCCAAATCTCATCATCTAAATCACCGAAATGATTTGGCTCTGGATGTAATTCATTTATAATGATGATGAGGCTCAGGGTGTCATGCATCCCATTGATTTAACATATTAATCTCATCTTTATATACAACACAATAACATATGTGCTATCAGAATGAGATCCTAAACCATACTTTTGTCTGTAATTGGTCCTGCATATTAGGGAGATATTCAGAAATATAAGTTCAACACTATGTTTATAAAACTCAATAAGCAATTGAACATATAATTCACACATGTTCCATATTGTCTGCACTGAATACTTACCCAATTTTAAGACTTCAGTTATATATACCAGGGGTATATGTATACACATTTTAAGAGATGTTATCTATGTTCAAGCAGTAGTTCGCCATCATCAGAAGTGTCTGGATGCTGATGGGAACCACATTGAGCACCTCTTGTCATTGCAGAATTCAAACGTGATTTGTATTCATCTTTTGTTATCGGTATATATTATTACAATTAATGCAGTTTTTTCCTTTCTTAAAATGCGTATACATTTATTTTTTGGCACCCTCTGTATATAAATGACTCCAAAATCTATACATGCAGTAACATTGCCATCTTTAATTTAAACTGCATACACTCAAAATCTTTTTTCCAACATCATCTCCCATTAAGATCAAATGTTTTTATCAACATTATCTTCATTTTTCTAACACTATTGTAAACATCTTTCATTACATAATAATTGGTCATCCAACTCATCTTTACCACACACTCATTGTCCCTCTCTATTTTCCTTTCCTGTCTGAACTACCCACACCCACTTTACTTCTTGTCTAAATCACACCCCTCCTTCATCTCCTTTTATCTACTCTTTCTGGAAATTTTTCCCTGACACCTTTCCCCTGCTAACAGTCCTGCTGAACTCCTGTATTATTTACCGCCAGTACAATTAATCTTGCCCATACTATATATGTCATCCTGGTGTTATTTATATTTTATATATGGGAACTATCCTCCAAATAAATATTCCATTACTGTAATAAATGCTTGTTGAGACAATCACTGGGAATATAAAAATAAGTAAGACGTGGTCTTTTGCCCTCATGGGATTTAGAGTTGGGGATTCAGGTCTGAAAATGAAAAGTGAAATGTCATCTTGTATATGCTATAAAAGGATGTCTGGATGAGAGGAAGTGGAGATCACACATAAAGGGAGTGTTCAGAAAAGTGTTCCAGAGGCAGGTACACTTGAGCCTTGAATGATGAGTAGGTACTATGCAGGGGTTCAAGACGGAAAAGAAGGTTGCAGACAGAGTATCTCAGACAATGAGCGTTTTTCAGGAACAAACCATGCTTAAGCCTTCGTGCCTAGACAAGAGTCTGGCAGTGTGTCCTTTGTAGGATGGTAACAATGAAATTTAGCAAGCCATTGCAAACAATACCTTTTTAAAGTAACCTGTCAGTTCTCTATATGAAGGGTGAAACATTCATAATCCTTAGAAACGTGCAGATCTGAATATTTAGTGAAAGTAGTAAATCCTAAATCAAATGTAAATACTGCCTCCTTTAGAGTCATAATTGTATTTCCTTGACCTTGTAGCATAAGGCTCCACTCTTCTGAATAATAATTTCCTTGACGTCGAAAAATGTAAGCATCCAATCTCAGACTAAAAGTTTGATGTGTATAATACCTTTCATGTCCAGCAAAAAAAGGCAATCTAATTCATATAGCTGGCAGGGTGAGACTTAACTTTGCCAGCTGAAAGCCATAATCATTGTTAACATTGCTAAAGATTAACAGATTGAAATATTTTCAATGCACACCTTCAAGTGCTGCCATAATGCAATATTAATTACAATTCTGGGCAATTAAATGACCAGTCCTGTTATATCTCCAAATTCTGTTCAAACCATTGCACTTCTGATACAAAAGCAGGAACAGCTCAACCATGCATGGTATAGCCAATTTGAGGAGAATAAGAAAGCATATCTGTTTCCAATCAAATGAAGTGTACCTTCTTTCTGATCAAATGTAGAAACCCAAGTTACTCAAATGTTTGCATTCTTTATATACAGAGTCAATCAAAATGTTAAGACTATATTTACTCCTTGCTTGATTTTCTGCTGGTAATTCTAAAAGCATTTACACAGGAATGCCACCAGTAAACTGTCTCAACATAAAAACGTCACTTTATCTGTCCCTTCTAAAAGAAACATGATATAGGTAGCAATGCTAAAATCTGCATTTGTCCCATGTGAATTTGATGGGCTATTTTACATCTATGTTAAAAAGTGCTACTGCATTAAAATTTTTAAAAATTCTGCCTTAGTGAGATTTGTATTTATTTCCCATTTCTTGTACACTGGTTGGAATAATTCCCGATTTAAAGCACTATAGTTTTTTGACTGATACCTAATAGGTTATTCTATCCAAGTTCATTTTTTTTTTTACAATGGCTCTCACGAGGCTTTGAGTCACACTCCAAGTATTTTACACAAACAATCCAAGTTTTATCATGAAGTCTCAAACTGTGAGTAGCTGCGGGTGAGAACAGTTTGAAGTCTCAAGCATGAGTTGTCTTGGCTTGAGAACAGCCACTCACTACCAACAAAAACGAGTGAATCGCCCCTACTGAAATGTGTTCATGTATCTTTCTTTTCCTTTTATAGCCGAGCTTGAGATTTCTACACTATGGCAAAAATATGGGGAAAATCCAAATAAACAGAAAACAGTTAAAAAAATATTAGCTTGAAAAATTATACTTTTCAGCATAAATAATGACTTTATTTAATGCAAAAAGAATAGGTTAACAAATACTAAGAAGTCCACCCCTCTGGTCTAGGCGTATCCACTAAATCTGGTTCTAATGTTTTGTGGATATGTATTTTGTACCATTGTTGTATCATCTTCATGAATATTGTAGCTATAACTTTTAGGCGACATTAATTCTCCCTTATTAGCTCTTCAGTGGCTGGTTTTCCTCAAGGGCTCTGGCTTACCTGCAGGGCAAATGTTTGCAATTCCATTTCATATTGCATGAAAGCACTTACCCTAAGCCTCAGCAATAAACTATTCCAAGATTTATGCTTGGCCTCTTTTAACCAATTGTTTTATAATCACACACATATAAAACTATGTATGTATATATATGAGTTCATATCCACCACAATTTGTATGTTCCCCTCTAAAATGAAATAATCCCATAGCTTAAAAAAAAGAAAAAAAAATCACTTTCCCACAAGAATTCTCTTCTAAGCCTGGTCTTTCCACCTTGAGATCTATCCCCTCACTCTGAGGCACAGAGTGTCATCATAGCACAAGGAAATGTATCATTAAGATAACTTTCAGGTTAATTAGGTAAAATGTTAAGTTCCCATGAATGATCTCATCATTGGCCACTTACTCAATTTAGGCCTCTTTTCATGCCAAAATGTCTATTTTGGAAGATTCATGCATTTGTGATAATTGTATTATTATTTTGTAAGTATTGTTAAGAAATGTGAATTTTATTAGGAAGCCCAGATCCAGGGTCTCCTGAGGAATATAAGGGAAAAAAATGCGGTAAGAAATCTCCATTTACTTCCTCAAATTAACTCCCCTGAAATATAGGAAGAAGAACAGGTTATGAATGTTGGCCCCACTGTAAGACCCTCTGAATATCTAATATCTGAGAATTGTCTATCGTAGGCAGATGGGGAGGGTGATGATGATTCTAATCTGGGTATTTGATATTTGTGGTTCTGTTATCAACCAACCTTTCTATCTGTGATTTTCTGGCTAATCCAAGAGAAAGGTCCAACTGGCTGTCTCTGCAACCAGCACTGCTTTTATCTGGCACAGAATTTGACCCTCAAAGCCTCATGAAACCAGGAAAGAAAAGTCTACCCAAACTGCTGAATTCAATAAGAAAATCACAGGTTTGGACTTCACTTATAGTTTGTATTCTAACAGCTGTAATCCTATAGCTCCACTCTTGACCTTTAGTACATAAGAGAGTTAATCAGAATTGCCTCTGCATTATTACTGGAATCTCAACATTGAAATTCTAGCTTTCAGTATTCTGTTTCTTAAGTTCTGAAAGTTAAAACCACTTATGCTCTTACTGAATCTGGAGGAAAAGAAGTAAAATAATCCCTCATTTATGACTTTTATCTCACATATTACTTACTAATCTACAGCCTAGCATTATTTTGGTTACATAGTAATACATTTACACATTCACAAGGGACTAGGTACAGATACAGTTACAGATACAGGCATAGACAGAGATGTATAATAGAATTATATTGAGAGAGAGAGAGAGAGAGAGAGAGAGAGAGAGAGAGAGAGAGGCTTCAAAGCATAAACCAATATCACAAACTTTTTCATTTCCTAATAAGAAAATTTTGATGAAATATTTAACCACGTCCTTATTTCACCTTATTTCTCTTTGAAAATTGTTTGGCTCTCCCAATCTTGACTCCATCTGTGCTAGTACTTGAACTTACCACTCAGTCCCATTCACCCCTCTATCTTGTCCAGTGGGGGTTTCCAGCACCTTCCACACCTAATCCAATCACTATCTTACCCTTTTCTTTTAACCCAAAGCACCTCTAGCTACTCCTGCCCCCACTGGTCTAAAATGCCTGCTGTTTCTTTCCGCACCCAGGGAGGACTTTTATGTTTTGCTACCAGATTTCAATGGCTCTGGTTATGAAGTGCTGGAGTAAAATAATTGGTGGCTTGAGAAGCTGTGAGGACCCAGATGCCTTGAGTGAAAGAATCTTTATGACTTCTTAGCAGTTCACTAACTTTAAAGCTTCTAGTCAAATTTAAAGATGAGCCGTCCCGGATCCTGTCCTTTCCCATCTTTTAGACCCTAAACCACAAGGTCCCGGGGGGCCCGTTTGTAATCAGTTCCCATCTTGTCCAGCTCCCAGCGCCATCATGGCGGTCACAATGAAATGACATGGAAGCACACCGTCCACACCTACATGATATGCAAACAAAAGGGAACATGCAAAACACCTGCTGGAAACTTCCTCCCTGGGAGATGGAAATGGAATGCGGTCCTCACCTCTGGATTCATGGAACTCCAGTGTGACGTGGGCATCAAATCCAAGGCTGAAGTAATTATTGAAAACATTCAGAGGAAGCTGCAACAAGGAACAAAGGTAGAGGTAAAGTTGTGTGGAGCTAGGCAGAAAGGGAAAAAAATAAAGCTGAAAGCCAGACCCGTCTCTGGGGCCTTCCTTGGGAAGAGAGATCAGTCACAACTCAAGGCAGAGGAAGGAACAGGGTGTCTGAATTCATTCATTAGTGAAAGCTCAAATCAAACAATACTCCTAAGAATTGTAAGTAGTATAGAAAGCAAGGAATATAAATACAAATTATTAAATGAGAACCATTCTTGTGAATGTTGTAATAAGAGAACCTCATTAAGCTGAAGGATGCACATTTGTAATATTTAGCTACAAAGTATAATTCACCATTCAAACTTAGGAAGCAAATTCAATCGTAAGGATCATGTCTAATCTACTTAATCAGTGTACATACTGTTTTTTCCAAGAATTTATGATCAGCATATTAATATTACAAATTAGAATGAATAATAATTTGTTTACCCCTCACCTATTTTTTTTAAATGTTTTTTGACAAAAGTCATACAAGCAATAAGGCACATTCAGCTATTCTCAATCTAGAGGAAAAAAGGAATATATACAAGTATATATATTTATCAGTATTATTCAGATTCCTATTTAGTTGATCAAACCTTGTATCTTTTTATATTAAATTTATTGGGATAATGCTGGTTAATAACATTACGTGAATTTTAGGGGTACAACTTTAGAATACGACATCTGTATATTGCATTGCGTGCTTACCACCCAAAGTCTAGTCTCCTTCCGTCACCATATATTTGACCCCCGCTTCTTCTCTTCTAACCTTGTATTTGTAATATGACTCTGAAATATGCAAACACAGACATACAGACACACACACAGCCTTAGCTTTCCTTCCCAGAGTCCTCTGGGGCTCTGGCTGTTACTGCTGCAAGTTGAGTAAAAGAGAGAACTATGCAGCCCAAAATCCTGTGTTAAAAGTGCAGAATTAATGTGATTTTCAGGCGTGTGTTCAATGGTACAACAACTGTAAAAGCATGTGGAAAATGCCAGCAGGGAAATGATGACTCTTCCACTTTTCCTTTTGCAACTCAGAGTGCAAGATAAATATTAAAGTAAATAGAGAGGTAATTTTATCTTAGCTTGGATAATGTTTCCAGATAATAATCAGGTTTATCCTCCCGATAGAAATGTACTTCTCTTCTATTAGCAGTAAATGTTTACCTTCTTCTAAAGGGGGTGAAATACATGGTGATGGAAGGAGACCTGACTCTGGGTGGTGAACACACAATATGATGTATCGATGATGTGTTACGGAATTGTACACTTGCAGCCTATATAGTTTCACTAACCAATGTCGCCCCAATAAATTTAATAACATTTTTTACAAATAAATGTTTAACCCTCAAGATTCCAAAATTAAGTTTATTATAGTGCTCCATATGCCCCTGGATCAGGAAGATTTTGTTTGACAAGAGTGAGAATTTTGTCCCATTAAGAGAAAAATGAAATGGGAGGGGGAGTGAGAGAAAGAGTTATTCATATAGAAAGAAAGAAAATGGGGCCGGCCGAGTGGCTCAGTTGGTTAAGAGCTCGCTCAAGAGTTTGAGCTCTAAGCAACAGCGGTTCGAGTCCAGCCCGAGCTGAGCAGCCGCTGAGCTGCCAACAGGTAGCAGGATGGCTCAGCTAAAAAAAAAAAAAAAAAAAAAAAAAGAACCAGAAAGAAAGAAAATGGATTGCCGGGGTCTCTAATGGGGATAAAGAATGAACCCCCATGGAAGGCTCTGAGTCAGGGGTTCTAATGATTCAGAGGTTAACTCAGCCCTCAGAAATGCTTACCAGCAATTGGAGACTAGGGAGAGAAGCTAAACACAAAGAACGATGCCAAGAGCATGTCTCACTTTCCTGGCTTCATATCTGAGAATGTCCAGTTCCTGCACTTAAACAAAATACCAGCCCTTGGTAATGACAGTGAGGCTCGGTAATCCTGCCAAGAGCACAGATATGCTCATCTCTACCATGTACGTTATGTTGGCTACAATTTTAACCCATGTCTTAGCATCCACTGATAACTGAGGAGAACATCTGGCTAGCATCCCATAAATAATATCCCAATTTAGTCTGTTATTAACTTCTTATTCATATTTTCCAGGAAAAATAGCCCCAATTTCAAAAATCCATTTTCAAAGCCCTTTAATTATGTGGATTAATGTTCCCTGGCTGCACCAAGAGCTCTTTCCATTTCTTAAGTTGCTGGGAAGTAATTTAAATATAGATTTCTATCGAGGGCTTAACCATTCTAAGTTTAGTGGGGAAAGGACCTTAAAATTTCCAGATGGTACATTTCTATTTACTTTGGCTGTTTTCTATCCAATTTATGTTAAGGCCAATACATTAGAAAGAAGTATCATGTCCCAAGATGATACGTACTGTTTAAACAACATTGTGTGACATTATAAACTCAAAATCAACTGAGCAATCATGATATCTACTAGAAAACTTATAATTTCTGGACCATGGCTTAGGTGAAAAAAAAAACAAACAAAAACCCATGAAGACAAAACATACATTAATGAATAAATGGGTGTTGGTTTGGTCTAAAATGGTATCTCATTCAATCTATTTTAAGGCTGAAACACCCATGGAATCTTGGCCACAATCAATGGCATAATCCAATAGAGCAGGAATGCTGTTTAAAGTACAGATGCCTGGACCTTGACCCTGCATTTACTGAATCAAAATCTCTAGGGACTGGGCCTCATAATCTACATTTTTCACAAGCGCACCTGGAGATTCTTTTTTTTTTAATATTTTTTTTATTGGGGAATTGGGGGATGGGAACAGCACTGGGGAATTGGGGGAAGGCGAACAGACAAGTTGCTGTCCTTTTGTTCTTTAGTCTAGTTGTGGAGGACGTTGTTTCACTGGCCCAAGTTGGCACTATCATTGCACTCTTCCCGGGCGAGGCCGATCAGTCGCCAGCTTCTGGACAGCAGTTCACGGCGGCTGCTGGCTGCTCACGCTGGCTGCTGGCTACACATAGTAGCCCATGGCAACCCACTGCCACAGGGGCTGCAGCCTATGCCGTTGCCGGCTACTCAAGGCAGCCCAGCTCCAGGCTGAGCTGTTGTTCAGCATCTTAGCTTTAGAGGGCAGTGTCAGTGGCCCTCATATGTGGGATCCGAACCAGGGCCCTCTGGCGTCCCAAGCCAGCTCTTACCAACGCGCCACTCGGCTGGCCCCTGGAGATTCTTATGCATATAAAAGTTTGCATATATCTTATGCATATAAAACACAATCATGGAAGAAAAGTGGAAAGTGATATAGAGAAAGCACCTAACTGGCAACCTATCAAATTCATCTGAAATTGAGGCCAGAACTTAGAACCAAACGTTCTACTGAAGCTCTATACTAGCGGATTTACAACTGCGAGTCTTGGTTTGTTTTGGGCTGAAATAAAAAAGCTCAATCACTGAAGGAAAAACACTAAGCCAAAACATTTGTTTAAGCATCTTCAAGTCCCAATCAGGAGATGGCACAGGCTTAGGTAATACTTCCTAAACATAAGGAACATTTGATATCAGATCAGAAATCTCAGGAGGTTATCTTTCTATTGAAAGACCACGTACCTAGTGCATCAGAACATATATATTCTTCATCTTCTCATAGGTTAAGAGTTTGCAACGAACTTGAAAGGCATGGATACATGTCTTCCTAGTATGGAAGCTGAAGACAGGAAACAGCTCCCTGAGGTCTGGAAGCAAGTAAGAAGTCTAGGTCTTTAGACATCTATGGTGCAGGATCGTTGGGGAGTGTTAAACTCATAGCCATACACTCAAACACTCTCCTGTTAACTCATAGGAAGGAGTCAGCACTTGATTTTCCAGCCAGGAATGTACTTCCTGGGCTCAGGCAGATACTACAGGGCTCCCTTCTGTTGAAGAAAGAACTCTCTAACCTTACATACACCATCTTCAAGCTCTTCTGGGGGCAAGTCTGGATTTCTTTCCACGTGGAGGTTCCAGCGGTCTAGCTGTACGATTGTCCCATCTTCTACTTGGCAAAGGATCTTAGAAACAGGTTCATCCGTGTAGCCCTAAGGAACCAAAGAACAAACCCATTACCATCTGGAGCCATGAACAGTACAGCCAAAGGTATTTCATGCAAGGAAGAGCTCTCCATGGCTCTCTCTTTATTTTGCAATTAGCAAGGCTGGGAGAGTACGCTGCTTCCCTCGAGGTACTTAGCACCTAAGACAACAGTCACAGGTGAGATGCACAGGAAATACTAACTCCAGCTGGTTTGAGCTGAGGAATCATTTTTTTTTCTGGCACCGAGAACCATTAGTTGCTAGGGATTGGCGGCCATGCTGGATGGCTGCTTTTATCAACGTAAAAACAGGACCCTCACTCCACCCCCCAGGAGGAATTTGGAAGATACACAGAATGAATGTGTGTGGGAAAGGGGGAACAGAATCAGGGTGGCATCTGCTAGACAAGTTCTTCTATTAACGTTCTTTTACCCTTACCTCTCCCTAACCTTGCAGTAGGACGCCATTCCTCCCATGACCTAAAGCAAGTGTGACTGAAGAGCAGCCCCGTCAGGGAGCTACTCACCCCTCGAACATACATCACTGATGGCGTGATTATTAAGGATTGTCAAGTCTTTGATTTGGATGGGAGGATTTAACATTGATAACATATTAGTTGCTTCATGTAAATATATTTATTATTTATACTATACTTAAGAAAAAAAAAAGCCCGTGGGAGGTTAATTCATTCATCCAAGGACAAGCTAATATCTGCTAATATCTGAGGATAGTTTTCATGGAGCCCAGCCCAAGCAATGGTCTCTATGAGAAAAAGCTGGTGGAGCTCTAAGTTAGTGTATTGTTCTCTCTTACGATCTTAGTATTATAAAAAGAATAATAATGAAAGGGCTGATTGGTGACAGATAAACTGCGCCGACTCCACATGCCTGAAATTGGCTCCACAGTAGAAAGGATGGTCAGTTACCTGTACAGCCAAAGCCAAAAGGACACTGACCAGAAAAAACAAATGCTCAAAAAAAGCCATTACTCGGGGCCGGCCGAATGGCTCAGTTGGTTAAGAGCTCACTCAAGAGTTTGAGCTCTGAGCAACAGCGGTTCGATGCCCGGCCCGAGCTGAGCTGCCACTGAGTTGCCAACAGGTGGCAGGATGGCTCAGCTAAAAAAAAAAAAAAAAGCCATTACTTTCCCAAAGTAAAGATTGTAAATCTGAACCAGATTTGCTATTCTGGCCAGGGTTGAGGGTCGGGGTCAATTCAAGTCTGCATGATTGTTTTACTTGAGGACACCCACTGTCTTTTAGTGGATATCTCAAAAAGCTCCAGGCCTGTGTACTAACCCCCATTTTGTTTTTATTCCAAATGTTCCCTTCTTCCCTAGCTGAATATAAGTTTAAACAGAAGAAGTTACTGAATAAAATCATGGTTCATGGGAACCCTGATTCTCAACTCTAATTTATTTTTTAGACACCAGTAGTATATTCCCCTTTCATTAGAACATCTGTAGATTTGGGGTCCCTGTCGCTGGATGGCCTGGGCAGCCCCCGAGAGAAGTTCTTACCCCTCCCCAGTTGAGAGTTCGAGCCAGGTCGTTCCCAGTCCCCAGAGGAAGGACTCCAACGGGAGGCTGAGGGCTCAGCTGCAGTTCATCCAGAATAGAAAGGATCCAGCCCACCTACAGACATATCGGGGGCCAGAAGAGAGATAAGAAAGATAGGTAAGTTACAAAGGGGACAAGCCCAGAAGGGGAGGCTTCAAAGAGCAAAATAGAACAGTTTTATCTTTCTTTAAAGCATGTAAGCTTTAATCCAGTCGCCAGGGAACAGAAAGACCACTTAGCTTCAAAATAGCAAGTCTCTCATTGGGAAAAGGACCATTGCGCACTAGCATATAAGCAAAACTAGACCTGCGCATCTGTATATTTAATTAGAGATCTACTTTAGAATTTAGGAGAGTTGAATTGAGGGAGGTATATGACATAGGACCATGGAGGTACTCAGAATCAGGATGAATTTCAGCTCTGGCTCATATTGGCTCTGTAATCGTGATGAAATTATTTAGCCTCTCTGAGGCTCATTTACCCAATTTTCAAAATGGAGATAATAACACCTACCTCACAAGATTGTTTATAGAGTAAACTAAAGTCTGTATAAAGCCCTTACTATGGTTGGTGCATGACCCATGTAAGCACCGGTTAAATGGTTACCCTCCATAGCGCCATCTTAGAAATTGGTAGTGTTTTCCTAAAAATCCCTGTATCCTCCTTAATGAAATATTATGAAAACATAATTAGGGACGGACGTAGTACTTATCATAAGTCTAGGCAGAAAATAAATATTTATATACTAGAATCATATTCCTGTTTAGTCTTTTTTTCTAAGATAAATAATAGTTTGGGTTTAGTCTTATTATAACTATTTAGAAAAATTACCCAAGACTTAAAAAGAGCAAAAACAAACTTGCATATCCTCACAATATCATACTAGAGCTTCACAGGCCTATCTAAGAACTTTGTAGCTATAGATTAACTATAGAGATACGAATGTCGAGAAGATTACTTTAAAGATTATATTTTTATTTCCCTTGAGGGCATACACCAATTTTTGTCTCAAATTTAGAAAAATTATTTCAGTATAAGCTAGAGTCCTCTTCCTCTACGCCGCCATTAAATCAGCTTTGTCATCTTGCTGGCTCCTTCATTGAAGAGCTAAATACATTGTTGACATGTATTCATTCAAACATAAAATGAGAGTCATGTTTTTTTATAATTTTTTTTTCAAAACTGTACTTTAGCAGTACATTTACCCGAACATGACTACATATAAAACACAAAACAAAGCTACTGAAATAAAAATATAAATGAGCTAGGCATGATAGATAAGATAGGATGCCTGCTCTCAAGTTTACGATGAACAAAAAGAGTGACATAGTGATTTGCTTTCTATGTGTTACTCCCTGAGCAAAGTTCTTAAATGAATTATCTTAGTAAATTCCAAAACAACTCTAGCAGATAGATACAATTTTCATCTCCATTTTATAGGTAAGGAAACCGGGACTTGGAAGGTTCAATGACCTTCTTAACATCACCTCATTTATGTGGCAGAGCTGGCATACAAAATTCAGTATGCCAAACACCGAAGGCTGATCTCTTAGGCTCTCTAGAGCAGGGAGCCTTTTATCGATAACGAAGAACTAAACCCAGTCCTGGGAGTGGCCCGACCATCCTGGAGACAGTAGCATGTACTCTGGGAATCTTTGAAGCGCTGGACAAACTTTAGAAATTGCTTATTCGAATTCAGTGAATTTGCAGCTTTAGTCACTGAGGTGCAGAGAGGTCACGCAGTTGGCTCAAGACAAAGTAATTAGAAGTGGCAGAGTCAGAGTCACATCAGGTCTCTTGACTCATTAAAATCCTTTGTCCTCCACAATGATTATTTCCCAGGGTGAAAAACTTGTCCGTCCATCAGGAAGTCTAAAATTCTGTTAATCTTCTAGAAAGGCATAGCACAATGTTCACCCAATGTGGTAAACTAAAAATCGATTTATTCAAGTGTCAAAAAGTCCCTCCACACCCCTAAACTGGGCAATTTATCCCCAGACAACTCCTTCGACTCCCACCCAGCGCTTCCTCAGCTCTTCTTTTATATATGCAACGCTAACAAAGCTTGCTACTGAAATAAAAGGGAAAAAAAAAGTGCCAGATGCTAAAATAGTTTTGATGACTGTGCTCGATATTGTTCCTGTGCTACTAAAAGCACAAACTAAATACAGTAAAAGTAGATCCCTCTAATAAACTACAAGAAGGGGGTTTAAACGTCAGTAAAAAGGATGTAGGGCCGGCCGAGTGGTGCAATGGTTAAGAGTTGGCTTGGGACGCCAGAGGGCCCCGGTTCGGATCCCACATATGAGGGCCAGTGACGCTGCCCTCCACAGCTAAGATGCTGAACAACGGCTCAACCTGAAGCTGGGTTGCCATGAGTCGCTGGCGACAGCGTAGGCTGCAGCCCCTGTGGCAGTGGGTTGCCATGGACTACCGTATGTAGCCAGCAGCCAGCGTAAGCGACCAGCAGCCGCAGTGAGCGGCAGTCCAGAAGCCGGCGACTGATCTGCCTCACCCGGGAAGAGCGCAATGATGGTGCCAACTTGGGTCAGTGAAGCAACGTCCTCCACAACTAGACTGAAGAACAAAAATGACAGCAACTTGTCTGTTCCCCTTCCCCCAATTCCCCAGCACTGTTCCTATCCCCCCAATTCTCCAATAAAAATCTTTAAAAAAAAAAGGATGTAAAAACTCAGGCATCCCAACAATCAGGGATCGCTGACTGCAGATGCAAACAGCCCTGGATAGATCAGACTTTCAGAAATGCGATGGAAATTCATGGGACTCTAATTCAACACCCCATTTAGAGAAGGGAAAGGAAAGCAGGCTTTTTACAACTTCTCTGAGAAACCATCATTCATTCAGCCTCCCCTTGTACTTAAAAGTCGGTCCATTTTCTTTTTGGTAGATTTAAATGAGAAACTTTTTTTCTTATGGTTAGTTGAAATATGTCTCTTTTTTTCTTGGTAAACATTATGCTATGAGCTCACACTTTCAATATCCCATTTCACTCTAAACACAAAAATAGAAAAAAAATTTTTTTTTTTTCTTCATGGGCCAGAAACAAAACACAAAGCTGCAAGCCCAGGACGCCAGGAGTTTGGCTTCTGTCTGATAACAGGGAATACGCGTCTGCCCCCTGCTGGCAGGAGGCTGCATAGGAACCAGGCTCCCTCTTGGCCTGGGGGTACGGGGTCGGGAAGAGTGTGAAGAACCACGGCCTGAGGGCACGGTCCATAGACCGATGAGACCTGTTAGGGCTCGCAGGAGAAAGCCTCTCTCTAACAGCGGGCCCAACTTCCCACTAGCTCACTGACAGACTGGAAACACCTCTGACATCTCCCCTGGATGGGAGCCCTAGCCACCTACAGAAAACTCATCTCAGAGTCCAGGAAACCATTCAAACTACTAGAAAGGGATAATGAAGTGATGCAGGGAAAGGGAAATATAAAACACAACAAAACAACTTCTTCTGGAAATGAGCCTGCACAGAAAGTTCTAAATCACAGGAGGAATGCTACTACTAAGATGGATGGGGAGGTTTGGGGATTCACTCACAGCCCATTAAAGACAAATAATTTTCAAATGACTTTGAAATAAGTGTCTTGTAACTTCCATGAATCGTTGGAGTGTCTTTCAGAGTCCTTTGATCGATATAATTGCTCTCATTCAAACCCTCTTAAGCTCTCACAGAAAAGCTTGCCAAGAACCCGCGTGATACTGTGCTATGGCTCACAAGTGGCGTGAGCCGTCAGGACCCTTTGAGTTCTCACCATCTCCTGTTCTCTTACACTTGGCCTGTGCAGAAAAGGAAAACGGGTATTTGATTTGAATAAAAGGAACTTCCCCTTCCTTATCAGTTGATGTGCTTTAAAAACTGCACAAATATATATTCTGTCTCTTTTTTCCAATAGCCAGTTAATCAAATATTTAATTTCCCTCTGAATGCAAGCAGGTAACCTTAGTATTTCATCGCTAACCCCTCCCACCCCCTGAGTTATCAAATGCCTCCTGCCTTTCACAGCACAGATCTTCTATCATGCACAATCAATGCTAGGCTACTAGTTTGGCTGAGGTGGGTTTGTATCTTTCCTTTGCACAGCTCCTGAATGTTTTTTGTCATCTAAGAGCTCTCTCATCACGGCCCAACGACCAGCTTCCTTTCAAGGCAACAGAAATGATGTAGGGGTGTAGTGGGGGCACAGAGCTGGAGTGAGCCCACCATTGTATGAAGTCCAGCTCCATCACATACTGGCCGGGTGAGTTTAGGCAACTCAGTTAATCTATGTTACCTCATTTATTTATTTATTTTTTAAAAAGGATAATAACAGTACCTGCCTTTTAGGGTTATTTTAAGAATTAAATACCATGTAGACATGGCATAGCATGTGCCAAATGGGAAATGCTCAATTAACATTAGCCGCTATGATGAAGCTATATTTTTCTTCTTTCTTTGCTTCATCTATAAAAGTCCAGTTTCCTAGAAGCGAAATGCCCTCTTCACTTAAAAAAAAAGTTGAGCCTCATGTTCACAAGTCAATCCCATCTTTGATTGCCATCAAACCACCAAGTTTTTCTTTCACAGACTATCAAAACCAGTAAAAAACCAAGCTGCACTGCAGCAGAAAGGTGTTATAAAAAAGAGAATAAAAGGGCCGGCCGAGTGGCTCAGTTGGTTAAGAGGTCACTCAAGAGTGTGAGCTCTGAGCAACAGCGGTTCAATTCCCGGCCCGAGCTGAGCTGCTGCTGAACTGCCAACAGGTGGCAGGATGGCTCAGCTAAAAAAAAAACAACAACAACAGAGAATAGAAACAAATACACTGATGACAGCACGAGACATAAAAGACCTCGCATACTAAACCGTTATCTCTGCGCTTATAAGAGCAAACTGTACAAAAGATTGGAAGGCCCGAAGCTGTAAACTGGAAGCTCTAGCCTCCCTGGGGAAGTGGGAACCTGTTCCTGTTGGAGGTCCAGACAGCAGATACAAGGGTAAAGCCTTCACATTCCCCCCAGTCATCTCCACCAGCTCAGCCAGCACCCCTTTGGATAAATAATTTAATTAACCACAACGCATAGCACTTGGCATATTTCATATTTCCCACCACAATTGATGAAAGCTATCCTGATTGGTGAAACCATTTTCCGGCTTGCAGAGTTCTTTCTATCCTTTGTGTCAGGAAAAGCAGGGCTGACGGTTCTAGAATACCAGATCCCGGGCTTTGTCCCTCCCTGAGCAGCCCAGCCGTGCGGTTGCAGCAGCAGCTGGCCAATGCTGCCACCACCTGTCCATGTTCAGCTTTAGCTGTCACTAAATGTTTCCCAGGTACATTCTGAACAAGTTTTCCATTCTGCAATAGATTAATAGTAGAGGCGGCTCAGGGGTGGAGGGGACAGTGAATTGACACTTTCTTTGGACAGGACTCACGTTGCATTTCCTTGTATTACATGCGGGCAGAAAAATGAAGCATACACATACTGAGAAATCAGAGGAAAACAAAAGCAACGTTTCTGAACTCTGAAAGGTAGTCCAGACAGCATTTAACAACTGGGCGTCCCTTTCTAACGTGTATTATACACGATGACCCTCCTCTTTGATAAAGTGCCTTCTAGAAAACTTAAAATTTAAAGTGTGGCTTGCAGTATAGTTCTCTTGAACAGCAATGGTCTATACCATTATAATGCTACAGCTGTGAAGAAACTTAGAGACCCAAATGTATCCCTTTGCAGATGCAGAATGTCCCAAAAGAGGTTAAGGACCTTGCCAACAGTCCCAGGAATAATGACAGAACTGCCCCTTCCACCTCCAGGTGAAACAGGAGATACATCACTCTGCCTTCTTGTATTTTTTAATGACATAAAATTAAACTAGTATTGAAGGCTGAGAACTTTTTTCCCAAATTAATGCAAGATATCTACATATTAAATAATACCTTATATACTTTAATGTGGTTAATCAGTCAAAAATAGTCTGTTTCTGACTCCTCCTTGAGCCTGTCACTATGCTGAAAGAATTTTGACAGCCTTTATAGTGATAAGTATTAACTAAAGGCTAAATACCTCATGTCAGATATATACCTGATGATCTCAAGAATTAACTTCACTTGCCTAAAGCCAGCAGTTTTTCCTCATACCATCAGGAAGCCTGTTTTTTTTTTATATAAACTCTGCCCCTAATCAAAATGGAAAGTTTCATATTATAAACTGATAAATTTAAAAATATCAATCACATGCCTTGATAAATATGTCATAAACCCCATATATCTTTCACAAAACACCTTATTTTAACAAAGTAAAATTAAACAAAACCCGGTTCTACATAAGGTTCAAGATAAGCAAAGTTTTGATTCTGAGTGATTAGACTACAGAGGTTACCACTGACCAAAAAATAAATAAATAAAAGAGTTCAAAAGTATGTGCCAAGTCTAGGGTAATTATAGTACTTTTATTTTAGACATGCCTGTGGCAAGAGACCCATGCGTGAATATCCAGTGCATTTGTGAGTTATGTGGAAGGATGTGAAACCTAACTGAGGTTAGGAACATAGACAAGGTCCCTAAGAGAAAAAAATAAGTATCTAGAACATAAAAGGAAAGTTATATTTAAGCCTTCTGGAATACCCATTAATTATGGTATATTTAAAGAAGAAATGCTAGCAAAGATGGGGTAAGAAGGAGAACCAAAGAGTCTACATGTCAAGAAAGATAATATTAATGGCACAAGAGTATATTTATAGACATTCAACACTGTCATTGGATCTGCTCATTAGGATTCATTAGGGATGTACCAAGTCTCACTTACTCATCATTCTGGGGTTTGTCCCAGACATTCTATTGAAACTGTTTTCTTGAAAACCACCAGTTACTTCCTAGTCTCCAAATTCAATGATAATCGCCCAGTCTCTCCTTAAGGATATAACCACTCCTTTTTGTTTGAAACTCCTTATTTTTTTGGCTTGTTTTCTTGACAGAATAGACTACCTTTCACTTCTATCTTTTCATTTTCTTCTTGAACCGTGGCTCAGACTCCATAATAATAGGTGTTTCGCAAGTGTCTGAACTTGGCTGTCTTCTCTCTTTGTCTGTTATGCTTTAAAATCCAGCCGGCCGAGTGGCTCAGTTCGTTAAGAGCTCGCTCAAGAGTTTGAGCTCTGAGCAACAGGGTTACCAGTTTGATTCTCAGCCCAAGCTGAGCTGCCGCTGAGCTCCCAACAGGTGGCAGGATGGCTCAGCTTAAAAAAAAAAATCCCATGTGTTTAAATACTTATCTAACTGCAGGGACTGCCTCAATACTACATAACTTAGAAGAGTGCTTCCTACACATATTTGCTGAGGAAAGGAAGAAGAAAGCAGAGAGGGGAGAGAGAGGGGTGATGGGAAGTTCAGTGGATGACAGGGAACTTTGGAAGGTGGAGCACCCAGTCACTGAGGAAGCCCCAGGCATGGAGATGGACTAGAGAGCTGATGTGGACTTGAGGTCACGTAAGAAAGAGGAGGAACTAGAATTCAGGACACCAGGCATTACCTCAACTTGTCTGCCACTGTCACTGAGAAAAGATGAGGAAAGAAGATGTGAGTGGGACACTGAAGCATACAGGAAGGCAAGCAGATTCTAAAATAAAAAAGACAACTGTAGTAAAGGGTCACGAAGGACTTTACCCTCTTATTAAACATAACTCATCTGGGGGACGGGTGAGCTAGGAAGAAGACTGCATGTGTGTGTATGAATTATATCAATATGTAATCAATTAATTAAACATATTAACTTTAGATATATATTTATTTGTTTGGATGTACGGCTTACTAAAGAAAGTTGTGAAAATTCCATACTACCATATCTCTAAATATATCTCCCAAGTACTTTACAATTGAGTGAGATTTCATGGGTATTGTGGGAGAAGAAAAAAATCCTATGGTTCAATAATTTTGGAAAACACTGAGTTAAATAAAGTGAAATAGGTTTGGCTTCTTTGATGTAAGAGTTTATAATACATTTTATAAGATAGTGAGATGAACTGTGAAACTTGAAGACTGGTAAACACTATTTTCCCATCAAAAAAAAAATGTTTTTCTCTCCACAGAGTATCTTAAGGGACGAGTGGAATCATGGCTTTTTTTCCCAGCTTCATTTAGTAGCATATAATGTGTATCCAATGTTGCATTAAGTGCTCATATGCAATGAGAGATAAAATTAGAAAATCCCATTGCTACTTTTGAGAATAAAACATTCTAATTAGGGAAATTAGAGAAAAGCCAAACATAGTTCATAATAAAAGCATAGGTTCTGTGAGAGCAAACTTCAAATAGACAAGAAAATGATACTTGGCAGGAAAAGCTAATGTTATGATTCTCCATTCTTTGCTAAATATATCAACATAAGTAGAGGGCAAATGGAGAAACAGATGAGACACATAAACAGAGAAAAATATACCCGTGACATTAAACTTCAGCCCAATTCCACCTTTTCTCCAAAATAACTACAAATGGGACCAATCAATGATCTTTAATACAAGCCAATGTTAGTCAATATTCTAAGTTTTATTTCCACTATGTAAAACAAATGCAATAATTCAGTTACGTACACATACTTCTCCTTAACAGCTGTGACCAATTATTAAGACCAAATTAAAATAGGTCAGTTTGTATTTTCAAAAGAATTTCGTCATCTATAGTCTTCATTCTGATGATCTGACCATATCCTTACCTTGTAGAACAGAAAAGGAAACAGTATGACTCAGGGAGCAAAACCTAATTTAGAAAGGCCAAGTGTGAATCCCTGAGGATAATAACAAAGTCCCGTCTAACCGTGAGGGGCTACAATTCACATGAGAGAGACATGTGTTTTAAGGAACTGGAAAAAGTGTGAGCTGGGAAAGAATAAAGAAAACTGTTGGGGCGGCCAGTTAGCTCAGGTGGTTAGAACACAGGCTCATAACACCAAGGTTGCCGGTTTGACTCCCACATGGGCCACTGAGCTGTGCCCTCCACAACTAGATTGAAACAACTACTTGACTTGGAGCTGATGGGCCCTCAGAAAACACACTGTTGCCCAATAAAAAAATTAAAAAAACACACAAAACTTAAAAAAGAAAATGAAAACAGTCATAAGAAGAACAAAAGAAAGATGGGGAAAAATAGGGAGAGAGCTTGATTCTATTTCAAGGACCTACCGTTCCATCCCCACCACACGCCAGAATTCGCAGATTTGGTACTTTCCTATACAACTCAAGCCTGTAGAAGAAACAGAGGGAAAAGTTAGCAGAAGAGCACATCACGGGTCACAGCAGAGAGAAAACACATGGCAAAAATGAGGGGGCGGGAGGTCTCCTGGAGAAAATGTGTGGTCATGAGGATAACAGCATCATCAAAACTAGTCACCAAGTACTCACGTGGAGGAATGACGCCAACAATTGGATCAGCGCTTGGCAGCAAACCTCATTTTTAAATGGTCACACTGGAATGGGATTTTAGGATGTCCTAGGGTTTTAGTTCCTTTAATTCACATTAAATAGTAATGTGTCAGCTCACATTATTTTCCTCATTAGCTTTGACTTCATTTCTTCTTTCTTTTTTCCCATCATTCTCCTCCCTCCGTTCTCAAAGAAAAGCATCAATTGGCCACCGATAGTTCTTATATGTCTCTTTATATTTTGTTAGCTTTTCCCGGGTCTACTTATTTTTCAAACCTAAACTTCCCACTCTTAATCCTAAGAAACCTTTTACAGAAGCGGGGAGGAAAACCCACTAGCATTACTACCACACCCTTAATTCCATCTCCCTCTTAATTCACTAACAGTCAAACCCCCATTTATATACCTCATCCAAAGAGAGAAAATATACTGATTTTTATTTTGAATTTGCCTGCTTAAAATGAGATTCTTTTATTTTTCATGTTGGCTCTTAGGTAAATGCAGTGATACCACCCCTGCTAAAACATTTGCCTAAGTGAAGCTGTTAACGGTTCTGTTCTAGAAAGCATCACCTATTTAAATCAAATAATGTTTGAATGAAAGTCTAACTAATGTGATAAAATATTAAGTAAACATCTAAAAGGGCAAAAGCCAGGGTAGCAGAGTTGTCTAGTACATCCAAATGCAGAAAAAAATACAGAAGTCTTACAGCAAACTCTAGAGGCAAAGTTCACAGATTAAGAGAATGTCAGCAGAAATTTATATTTAATGCTCTCCTGCATGCTTAAATAGATATCATTTATTCATGACATACAGGAATATTATTTCTCTAGAAATTATCTGAGCTGATGGTTCTTTGCCTCAGCTATTGTTACTTATTTAAACATAATTAGTATCCCATAAGTTCTAACGTTTATCAGATGACATCCACACCATCTTAATAGATGGGTTTTAAAAAGGGAATCAGAAAGCAGCAACAACGTCCTGCTGTTCCCCACCATATCCCCCTCCCTCCACCAAAGGGCAGACATAAGATACGCGTCACCTGTATCTGGACTTTATTTTCAACACTTCTAACAAAACACAAAATTTCTGAAAAGCTCAGAAAAGAGAATGAGCAGGAGTTGAAATGTCTTCCCCACGCTGATGTGAAATCCACAGGTATGATCAATTAGTCAATCTCTCTCTCAAATGGACACAGATGCATATGCATGCACACGCACGCGCGCGCGCGCGCACACACGCACGCGCACGCACACACACACCTCTAATTTAAATATATGAAAATATCCATAAACAAATATGGCCTCTCTCCACAAAGACACACTTACATTCCCATTAATGTACATCTCCAAAGTTGAACATGCATAAATACAAAAATGAGGGATCCTTTCTCAATTCAGACTTGCTCCTAATCTATAGTTGCAAGTACAAGAGCAGCGAACACACAAGAAATACCCACTGAGTTAATAACCAAGAAGAGGTGTTTTGAAGGGGATTAACCCAATGAAGACAAGGAGGGGAAACATCAGATGAAGTTTTAAAGGGGGTACAGTCCAGATGAGAAAGTAGATAAGAGACGGTCAGAAGACGTTTCACAAGGTAATCAAACAACGAAGCTTGACACCAAAGCAGGAAGTGCTTCTCACTTGCCTAAAATAGTATGGACCACGGAGGGTATTTCCAGACTTACGCATCTTTTGGCCCTTCCTGAGAAAGATCAAAGACTTGCCGTGGATTCAGGTACCACATGAACATCTGCAGGACTTTGGTTCCCTATAAGGGGGGAAAAAAATGACAATGGGAAGAAATTTGCAAATATTAGCTGCGTATTTAAAAAAATAAATCCTGTTATCTAAAGCAATATCTAATTATAAACAGCACAGAGAAGTAGTTAAAATCATGGTCTTTGGCCATTGATAGATATAGAGAGAAAACTTCTGTATTACCCGGGTAACTCTGGGCAAGTTCTTCCATTTCAGTAAGCTCAGCTCCCTTCTCTTCAATGTGGAGGCTTGGTGCAAGAACTAAACGCGATAACATCACAGTGCTTGGAATGCAATGAGCGCTTAACGAATAGTGTCAATTCATTTTATCATCATTACTTAGTGTATGAAAAAATCCATGTAGGCAACTTCTTAGTCAGTCTATGTAATTTATCATTCATTTTTACTTTATTGTGTCGATCACTATTGTCTTTGCATCATATGAAATACGGGCAGTATTAGCGAAGTATGACTTTTGAAATACATTTTTAACTGAAGCAAAGTATCACAGGCTCCCCGTTGTTTACAATATACATATATACTACTTTATCAGTTAGTGGCATCAAATCTTACTTTGACATGTTTCCATTTCCATGTCTGTGTCTGTTTGTTCAAGCCAAACAGTTCTCTCCCATGAACATTTTGAGAGGGTTTTAAGTAATTGTGGCATTTATAGAGATGATCATCATGGCATCTACAAGACATTTCTGATCTACAATGATCATTTCTTAAAGTTAATTGAGCAAAGAAGAAATGGGAAAAAAAAGGGTCTTTTTATTAAGCAACACCCAAAGAGCTTTAAAAATGGGTAGGGTGCCTCATTTTATGCCATTGTTAACCACAGCAAGTAATATCTGACCAGCTGGGCAGAGTTCGTTGCTTCTCATTTATATTCCTTTATTAGATATCATGATTGCTCTTTCTTAAACCATTCCTAAGTTTGTATACCTACTATGCTGTATTTGAGAGTCATCCTAGTAGTAGAAATAGCATGATATTTGAGTAAAAAATAAGTTGGGTATTCTAACTGGGTGACTGTGAGCATTTAGAATCTTGCGAAAATTCAACATAGAAAATGGGAGGGGAATGTGTACTTTGCAGAGTGATTACGAGAATTAAATGAATCAATAATAGTTACGTAACTAGCACAGTATATGACACAAAATAGGCCTTTGTAAATGTTAGTCCCTTTCATTTTTGCTCCTTGTTCATCTATTCATTAAATTATTGAGGGTGTGAGGGCTAATGTGCAGTTTATAATTATCATAATGTTATGCCAGTTGGTACAGAGGCCAATGTGAGTCTTTTGTTCCACATTTCATCCAAACCTGCAATTTAAAAGTTCTGCTTTATCGTGTGCTTGCTATAAATTAGGAATAACATTTTATCCTCAATTATTACAACTAATCCTTCAGTTTCACCAAACGACATAGTTTGCTTCCTATAAAATTCAGGTATAGATTTAGAGACATAATGCTAACTAAATACCGGGTCATTCTCTTTCTTCCCATACTGGGCTTTGGTATCAAGTCACTTGGGGATTATCTCAAGTTATCTTTTATGTTTAAAAGTCATTTTAATGACAAACCAACTTATCAAACATCTCCAACCGGCTTTCTAGAAAATTAAAGTTTTCAGCTTTTGATTAGAGCAATATGAATTGTTGATGTTAATTACTCCTTTCCACCTTTGGCTACGGCTGAGCACACATCTCAATTTTAGCTTCTCCTGTGATGCACACACTGCTAGGTAATCAGCATCTTTCAAAGAATAAAAATGCACAGCATTTAGAGGTTATTTCCTTAATTGAAAATTTCCCTAGAAGGTTTGAATGACCACATCATTTTGTTTTTTGCTCATTTTCAATTTGTGTCTGTTGGAACATCTAATGATCTCCATTTTTCCTTTTTGGGGAGGGGTACTAAGGCTGGCAAGTTTTGCACAGCACACCTCTAGGAGGTGCCATTGATGGTTCGGTCTATTGGAAGAATGCCCTCTGGGGTTGTACCGGGATAACTCACATAGATGTACATTACAATCAGGCATGACGTAATTACTTCTTTCAAAAAGTAATCTTTCTAAAACACATTCACTAGCAAAAATGATCAGTGAACAAAAGCATTGCATTGTTTTAAATCAGTCCTGGTGGGTGGAGCCAAAAGTCTAACACATATTTAAATCAGTTCTATTAACTCTGCTGTTACCTCTAGAATAAGCCACTTTAAGATTTCAAGAGAGCTTATGTATCCAATAGAAGCAAATGGTTTGACAAATACTAAATGATCAAGAAAATAGTAATTTATTTCTTCCTCACCAGTATTAAATATATTCAGTCCTTTACACAACTATCATTCACTGACAAATCTCCAACACTTTCCTAGTTATCATGTGCTAGATGCCAATGGCGAAAGCTGCAACTTTGGTGCAAAAGCCTAGTTTTCTCTAAATGAAAAAATAGCTTACAGGTCAATTCCAATACACTCTGGTGAGGATTCTCGTACATACTTGTTGTAGATGTAATACCCCACTGACCACAGAGCCTTTTAAGATATTGTGATATTGGGTATTCCTCTGGGGTGATAAAACTCTCCTTTCTAGCTCCAGGTGGTGGGAGCGGAGAAAACAACTTCCCAGGCAATAGGTAAATTGTTCTAGAGGGAGATAAAACCCACTATGTGTGCTAGGCACAGCTTTACCTGCGGGAACAGAGCTGAATAAGGCAGAGAAGCTCTTGCTCTCAAGAGGAAGTTCTGTGCATTATTCATAAAATAAAATATAATGATTTGTGGGTATGGAGAATCAATTAAGGCTGGGTCCGCTGTGACAGCATGTCAATCTTCATCAAAGCGCTCTAACTCCCAATAAATTTTCATTTAAAAAAAAAAGAAAAAAAGGAAAGCACTGTAACTCTTGTGTAGGCTGAAACATTCAGATATATGCTCCTCAGCAAGCCTTGTCATGGAGGTGTTATCACAGCTATTAGCACAGAGTTAGTATCTAGATCACAGAAAGAACTGCCCAGACAATAAGGAAGGCCTGAGGAAAATAAAAGTGGTGGGAGGAAGCCATTATGGGATGAGTATTTCAAACAGGCTCCAAACCACCCCAAAGGAATACCTAATTGACTGAATAAACAAGTATTGGGCTCCTCCTCTATGCCCATGTGTACATTCAGGAGCTCAGGAGGAGACGGGCACAATAAATGAACTCACTGGAGATGGTAAATGGTATGGCAGAGATGCCTAGTGATGAGTATCAGTGGCCAGGGGAGACACTCGAAGCCCAAATTTGGGGATTAGATGAAGGCTTCCTACATATGATGCTTTGTCTTGAAAGACGAGTAGAGGCAGAAGTTTCAGGGTAAAGGCATCAGACAACAGCAAGACATGCCATAGAAAAACCACACCCTGTTCACTCTTTGCGCCATACGCCGGCCGTGGTGGGAGACGAAACTGCGCAGGTTATAGGTGAGGCCATGTATGCTAAGGAGCTTGGGCTTTGTTTTATAAGAAATGAGTCACTGAAATGTTTTTGCTAGGGGAGTCAGGTTTATATTTTGATACATTAGTGTAGCTACAGATTAAGATGCTAGACATCCAGGTCCTAGGCCTATTAAAGAGATTGACGGCTTGGTTTGTGTCTTAGCCACTGTTAGAGACTGACAGTTTCTGTTCTCCCAAAATTCATATGATGAAATCCTGACCCCCCCATATGATGGTATTAGGAGGCGGGGCCTTGGGGAGGTGCTTAGGTCATGAGGGTGGAGCCCTCATGAATGGGATCAGTGCCCTTATCAAAGGGACCCCAGAGAGCGGCCCGCACTGCCATGTGAGTACACAGTGAGAAGATGGCCGTCTGTGAACCAGGAAGTGGGCTCTCACCCGACACTGAATTGGCTGGTGCCTTGATTTTGGACTTCCGAGCCTCCAGAACTGTCAGAATTAATTTCTGTTGCTTATCAGCCACCCAGTCGATGGTATTACGTTATAGCAGCCTGAACAGACTAAGACAGCTGCCCCCACCTTCCCACCAATATTGTGACTTGGAGAAAGGAACTTCCCACAGAATCACTGTTTGGTTGTTTTTATTTCATCTGTCGGGGCTGGCTTAGCAAGAAGATGTTGAGATTGAATTCTAACATGTCCATCATCAACTGACTGCCCATCTGCCCTCTTCCCAGACTATTCTAAGCTTTAGGAGACTAAAATTTGATCTACACATGATGTTTCTTGATTTATCTCCAGGCTGAACATCGCAGAAAATACCATCCTCCTTGAGGTTGTTTGTCCAAGTATTTAGAAACAGTTTGGGGACTCGCATATCTGAAGTTGTTTACACTTTTTGTCTCCTCCTAGTCCCCACTTGGGTTGGCTTGTCCCTGACGTAGGAGGAGTGGCCCTGGTCTGGGGAGGCCTGTCCCCTGATGGTGTCGGGAACTTGGTCAGGATGAGCCTCTCCATAGGCTGAACACACCTTCCGCCTATTGCCTGCTGATCAGGCCCCTGGGAGCACACCTCCATCCTGGGATTTCACATTGAACAGAATGAGGGCCAGGGTCTGGACCCCTCGACTCTCAGGACAGACTAGCTAGAATCACTCTAGTGGTCAGAACACGGGCTTAGCCCTGAACTTACCATCTGCCTCACTGGAAGATGAAGTTCATGAGACAGCATGAGGGAGAGACAGTGTGAAAGCAGGGACATTGGGAGATATCAGAAAGGTCTAGAAGACTCAGGTAGAAAGATGCTAATGAGTTGGAGGCATCCAAGAAACGTAATGCATTTTGAGAGGCGGGGATTCAGAGGGAGTCAACTTTATCTTCCTGTAGTACCTCTTCTCCACAGGAGGAAACACTCAGAGTTGATATTATGGCCCCTGATTCCAATGTTTGCTCCCTCAAATAACTCAGATCCCAACAATAACAGTGGTACCGCCAACCTATGAAGTTTGCAAAAACACTTCAGTGTATCATCCCCACCTTAAGTGTTAGAAAAACTAAGACAATCATTGTGAATTAGCTGTTTTAAAGAAGGGATTATTTAAAGAAGGACATAGAAGCAGTTCCTACATGTGTGTGTTCATCTCAATATAGTCCCACAAAGTGGAAATTTTCCGTACACACGTAAAATACTGCTAAGAAAAAAAGCTACAGGTATTTTATTTGCCAGCAGATGGCAATATAGTCTAGTTATTCAAAGAACAGAAGCCTAAGCAAGTTTGGTTTTGGTTTTTGTTGTTTTTAATTTAAAGCCTAAGTTTCAAGAGCAGAAGAGAGGGGAGTGCTTAATATCTAGAAGCAGATGAGCAGAATCAATCAATTAAAAAGCAAGAATCCGGAAATAACAACAGTGTTTTTCTATTGATTGTAGACCGTGGTCTCAGCAGCAGCAAGCGCACCACGTGGGAGCTTGTTAGAAAAGCTGAATTCCGGGGCCACCCCCTGATCACTGAGGCAAAATCTGCATTCTAACATGATCCCCACGCGATTCATATGCACATTAAAGCTTGAGAAGAAAGTCAGTGGTTCTTAGCGTTGGCTACACAAAAAAGTAAACTGGGGTACTTATACCAGTTAAGGGGTTCTACCCTCATGGTCCTGTTTAATTAGTATGGGGTGGGGAAGACATCGCTAATTTTTAAAAGCTGCCCAGGTTACTCTGCTGTGCAGCCAGGGGTGAGAACCACTGCTCTAAGCTAAGAGATGAGTAGCCTTGAAGCTATAAGGACAAGCTAAGATGCTGTTCCCCCTCGTCCCCTCAGGAGCCCAATCAATTTCCCTCTCAATTTCTCGCCTGCTGTGTTCCCCATACAAGCCCCACAGATTCTCAGAGACCCTGAAATGGCTGATGACACTTCTCTAAGTGTGTTCCATAAACCACCTACATCAAAAGCCCCAGAGATGCTTACTCAACCTTGACATTCCGGGGCGTTTCCCCACACTGACTGCATTAGATTTTCTCAGATAGGGCAAATTAATAAGCGTCTCAGTGTGTTATATTGACACAAAAAGTTGACAACCTCTGGCCTGTGAGAAGGGAGTAAGTCACATGTTCAAATACTCAATAACATCATTAGGGCAACACACGCACGAGTGAAAATGCATAAAATGACAGAAAGTCATTAAGTCTTTTGTCTCTGATAACTAGGCATTGTTTTGTTTTTCAGTATCTCACTGTGACCTCAAATTCCTCAAACATATCTCAACCCCTTTCCCAAAATAATTCTTCCCTTTCCTGAACACCCATGAATAACAAAGCTGCTGTCCAGATAATCTGCTGTGAAATCTTGATGCCTTACTTCCCGTTGTGTATTCCATCCATTCATCTGTCCATCTATCCATCCATCCACAGGTCCATCCATTAGTCCACCTGTCTACCCACTGACTCACCACCCATCCGTCCATTCATCCATTAACCACCTATCCACCCACCCATCCACTCATCAGCCCATCTACGCATCGATCTACCCACCTATCCATTTATGCTGAAGTTCACGGGAATAGCCTCCTGACTTACACATATTCCCAGTGTGTCAAATTAATCTTTCTTAAAGGTGCTTCCATCATATTACTCCTTTGTCCAAAATAGAAAATATTTTTTTTAAAAGTAAACAAACTTTAAACAGTGAAAAACTAGTTTCCATGGTACAAACCCAAAATCCTCAGCCAAGTTTTAAGTCACGGGTCCAGGCTCATTCTCATCTTTACTTAACCACATTCCTAATAACTTGATACGCATGCTCTACTCACCATAGTGTCCTCAAAGTGAATCATTGTCATCACCACATTCATTCTTCTATTAATATTCTTCATTACATAATTATTTGTTCACTACTATATGCTGTGAACCAGAAACCATAGGTTCCAAGGTGTTGCCCCTGGAATATTATGGAACCCCGTATCTTAGCAGTACAGACACATGCAGAGCAATTATGTTGCAATTCACACAGTGCCAAGAGCTATGGGAACACAGAGCAACTGAGTTTGAGAAATGGTTCAGAAAGGTGCTACTGAGCCTTAAAGGAAAAGCAGGAATTTGCCACAGTACAGTGAAGGAAAAGGGCATCATTCCAGCTGTCTCTCCTTTGCACAACGAAATGCTGTCCGTCTTCTAGTTCAGCTGCTTCCATGACAGTTTGCTTATCACTCCCGAGTCACTGCGTGCCTCTCAAATTCCGTAGCACCTGCGGTCTGATCCGCTCAATTTAGAACTCACATATAGTTAATGTTGTTTGAATTACTTTTCTCATTTGCCCCTTTTGTGTCATTAACAAACAAGATGTCCTCAGAAGATTCACTTAAGCTTCCTTGAGCTGTTTTCTATTTAGTGAAACAGAAAGCAACATTAGATCATCTCTGAAGCCCGTGTCATTAATAATTTAGACAGAGATTGGAACAGGAGCAGGCTATATCTTTACTGGATGGTCCACTCCTCACAGGCAGGGATCACCTACAGGCTTCAGTAGGCCCTAGAAAAAATGCTTATAATGATTTCCTAAGTGCATTTTTATATAATGGCTGTCGTAATAAAGCATATTTGACATTAACGAGCATGTGGTGCTCAGGTGGCCACAACCATGGCATCAATTACATTAGCTTTGCTCTGTCCCATGGTCCTCGACCGCAACCCAACCCTCGTCAGGCTATAGGGAGGCCAGACCTCGAGGGAGGGGATGGCTCGAGGCAAACTGAGCCTCCCTCCTGAGAAGGACCTCTGCAGGTCCTCCTCCAGTGACAGGCTTAGGATCACCACCGTCACAAAATGGAGATCACTCAGCAACTCCAAAAAAGCAGAATGTTGACAATAGATTATTTCTCTACTTAAAACACATGGCTTTTCCCTGCTCTCTACAATGTGGACAGAGATTTTTAAACCAGCAAGTTATCAAAAACTTTGAAGACTGGGAGGAAAGGAAGAATAACATTTTCTTTAAATTATAAGTTCCCATAAAAGAAGTTTCACTATAATTAATATATTCTGAAAAATGCACATTATCTTTAGTAATAAGGATATCATCTTGGTCCACTGGGTCACTCCTAGTTCTATGTCTCCCCTTCTTCTACGGGGTGGCTAAAGAGTTTTAAATCTTTAAGTTGTTCAGTGTGAAATTTCAAGGAATCTTGTTTCAAAATGTAAAGTGACAAATACATGTGATCTCACTTATATGTGGAATCTAGAGAAAAAAAATAAATGCGCAAACAGAAACAGACCCATAGATACAGACAACAAACTGATGGTTGCCAGGTGGCAGGCAAGCTGGGGGCAGGGTGAAAAAGGAGGAGGGGTTATGAAGCACGAAATGGGGAAAGGGATCCCTCGTGCACTGTTGGTGGGACTGCAAATTGGTGCAGCCACTATGGAAAAGAGCATGGAGGTTCCTCAAAAGTTAAAAATAGAACCACCTTGTGACCCAGCAATTCCACTTCTGGGTATTTATCTGAAGAAATCCAAAACACTAATTTGAAAAGACGTATACACCCCTATATTCATTATAGCACTATTTACAATAGCCAAGATATGGAAGCAATCTAAGTGTTCATCGATGGACAATTGGATAAAGAAGGTGTGGCACACACTGTACATACAGTAGAATATTACTTGGCCATAAAGAAAAATGAAATCTTACCATTTGCAACAACATGGATGGACCTAGAGCGGATTATGCTAAGTGAAGTAAGTCAGAGAAAGACAAATACCATATGATGTCACTTATATGTGGAATCTAAAGAATAGAATCAATTAACAAACAAAACAGAAACAGACTTATAGATACAGAGAACAAACTGATGGTTGCCAGATGGGAAAGGTTTTGGGGGGCTGAATGAAAAAGGTGAAGGGATTAGGAAGTACAAATTGGCAGTTACAAAACAGTCACAGGGATGTCAAGTACAGCATAGGGAATATGGTCAATAACATGGTAATAAATATATATAGTGCCAGGTGGGTACTAGATTTCTTGTGGGGATCACTTTGTAAATCATATAAATGTCTAACTACAATGAAACTAATATAAAACAATATTTAAAAATGTAAAATTTGCACACTTAATGGACACGGAAAATATTTTATCACCCAATTTCACATGAAAATAAGAGAAAATCGAAACCCACAGAAGAGTATTGATAAGGAGTCTCAGAGATGGGAAGAGAATTATAATAGATGAGAAGATAATGACCCGGTTCAAGAACAAGTTCTGTCCTTTAAAGAGTTGTGTCACTTTACATGTGGCATTAAACTAAACTTTTCTATGGCTATTTCTTTATTCTCAAATGAACTTAATATTAATTATACTATTGGATTTGGGCAAGCACCAAATGAAACCTGTACAAGGTGATATTTTAGATCATGTCCATGGTTTGTGGTTGTTCACTATCATGAATGATGAATCGTCATTCTCTCCTGCTTCTGAGGATAGGAACGAAAGTAGCCAGGTCTAAATTACAATAGGAAGAAATAAAAATAAGTTCATATAGGGCACCCTGAAATGTATTAATTAAGAGAGACTGTAGAATGAACCTTCTTGAACGTCTGTATGGAAAATGTTGGCAGTTAGGTTTTGGGACACCTCTGGCACAGTCGTATATGGAAGCAAGAGGGAGAAATCCTAGACCCTTTAGGCTTTGCCTAGCCCTGGAATGACCTTGTCTCTGAAAAATTGGTCGTCTTCCAATGCTTGGGGTCCTTGGTGGTATGATTTTCACTGATGTTGGGAATCGTGTTTTCAAAAAAGCGTTGCAGTTTCCAAGTTCAACTCATGAAAAATGACTCACCTGGTTGCCTCCACTCTTGGGGTTCACAAACACAAGCAGAGGTTTCATAAGAGGAGAAGAGATTGGCTTTATCACAAAGGGACGGCCTTTGTTTTCCTGCTGAAGGAAGAAAGCGGCACTCCTGAGACACACATCCATGTCTTGAAAGGCAGCCCCCCCAGAGCAGCGGAAGTGAGAAACTACCAGCACCACCCCCACCCTTGCAAAAAACAAAAAGATACATATTGTTTCATAGAGCCACTCTTAATAGGACACTCCATCTAAAGCTTAAGAGAAAGTATCTCAAGCTATAATTTGCCCCTGAAAATCAAGCCATGCTTTTGGTTTTATTTTGTATACTCTAAGCATTCTAGAAATGTTAGTTCTTATCTTCATCTTCATCATCTTTTGATAATATTGCTACAGACAAGTGCAAATGCTCTGACTGTGAAGTGGCAGGGGGTTATATATTTTTTAAAGAGAAAGAAAGAAAGAGAGAGAGAGAGAGAGAGAGAGAGAGAGAGAGAGAGAGAGAGAGAGCGCGAGCGAGCGAGCGCGGGGGAGGGACGAAGAAAGAAAGAGAAATTCCAGCATGGTTGAAGTATACAGGAGAAAAGAGTGGTAGAAGGCATATCAAAACAATAAGCTTGGGCCAGATCATGTCAGACAGAGGTGGCCATGGAAAGGAGGCTGTATTTCATTGTGACAGAATCCGAAAACACTTACTTCAGTTCCTCTTTTACTGGCTTTTCTCTTAAAGCTTGTTCTCTTCTTCTTCCGATTGGAGGCCTTCAGCGAGTTCTGTGGGGGAAAGAAGGCAGGCCCTGAGCTCGGGGGCACATGGCCCCTGAGCTGTCCCATGCAGAACCATGTAGAAGATGACGGCAGCACATGCTGTTCGCCTGCATGCTTCTCATGCTTTGACACTTCCAAGCCACTGCTCATGGGTAAGCCACAGACAGAAACCAGTCGCGTGCTTAAGAGCGAGCGACTGACTCCTCACCACACGGAGAGGCAGGGAGTTAGAACCCTGGAGGCTCTCATGGACTCACATGACAACACATGTTATACCTGCCAACCCTCCCAGTAAAAATGGAAGAATCCCAAATTCTCTGAGGGGCTCCAGTCTCCCGCCCAACCAGGTCCGTCTCCCGCCCAACCAAGTTCAAGTTCATCTCCGGATATGGAGATCACCTATGTGAAAATGTAAAAAAGGAGGCCATTTTTCATGTTTTTCTTTCTGTTTTCTTTTTTCCCTCTGTTTACATTATTATTATTATTATTATTATTATTGGTACTGACTGTTCTAAGTAATAGTCATAAAAAGACTCAATGGCAATGGAACTTTATGATCCAACTATCCTATCAGCATTGATGGCTGAGTTTTAAAATGCAGAGATAAGACTCACCCTTAAGTTACTTATAACAGAGTAGCAGTCACTGCTCTTTCTCTTTCTAAAGACCCATCGGTTTAAAAAGTCTTCCCTCCCTTGTAGCCTTAATTTTTCTCTTCTCACCAAAGTGCCTCCAAGTTGTTGAAATACAATGATCCCAAATTTACTTTCCCTGGCTTTCTCTTTCTAGGGATCTTATGGATTGCAACTTTGTGATTACTTCAAATTAACCATATACTCTTAATATTTGATACAGGTGCTTTGAGAAGAAACTCTTTTGGGGAACCAGTCACAACTCATTTGCTGAAGACAAGCAAAACTAGATTGAACTAGTAGAGAGTCAATAATTCATTAGATTGCCATCTTCACAAAGGCATTAATACCACATCATAGATGTTGAAAGTCTGAAATACATAGTTCTTAACTTATAAGTTCATATACGTATATACACATGCATTGCTTGAGCAGTTAAGGGTTTTCAAACAGCTTGAACAAACTTAGATATCTATTCTTCTACTAGTTAGGATATTTTTTTTAGAGCATTCAAAATAAACCTTAGTGTAGAGTACATATATTAACACATCCAAACATGCAAGATGGAAACCAGTTAGCTTTTATTTTACTTTCACTTTGGACCTCCAGAAAAATAAGTTGATTTGTGGCCCGTGCCCACCAAAGATGAGGGAAATTTTCTGGAATCACCATTTGTCTCAAGGTTTTCCTCCCCCATCAGATTAAAAGAATCTTCAGGTTCTCCAAGTCCTACCAAGAAAAGAAAGATCCAGAAGCTCATAGGTGTTCTAGACCCCAGGTGATTTCTCATCACTCATTCTATGCAACCCCTGCAAAGGCATCTCCACAGTTCTGAATTCCTCTTTCAATGGATCTATTTGTCATGTCCTTATTTGGGGAAACTTTTGTATGATTAAAGTCTTTGCCATATTTTGACCACTTTCTGTTTGTTTAAAAGGGAAGAAAGATAATTTGGAGCTTTTCAATGTTTAATCAGTCCAATGACCCAAGAAAGACGCAGGGAACTATGAGGCTGGCAGAGGCTGTTATCTATTTGACGTCAAGTAATGATGCTCAATGTTCTCAACCATCGCTGCAAGTTGGCCTTACTCGGAGAGCTTTTCAAAAATGCTGATGCCTGGGCCCCATCAAGTATTCTTATTTCCCTTCTTGGGGTGACACTCAGGCAAAGATACACTTTAAAAGCCCCCCAGGCCATTCTAACGTGCAGCCAGCATTAGGAACATCTGTTGGAAGTAGAAAGGATGGAGTAAAGATAAAGACAGCAGATCTGTGGGATAAAGACAGCAGATCTGTGGAATCTGACAGGCTGGCTGTGAAGTCTGGGTGTCTCTGTCAGTAGATCTGTGACTTTGGCAAAGTCCAACTTTTTGAAACAATAGTTTCTTAACTTGACAGTGAAGGTGATAATACCTACCTCCCAGAAGAGTTGTGAAGTGTAAACGAGAAAAGTATGTGAAGCAGTTAACTTGGTATCCATCCCATGATAAGGACTTCCATAAATGTTAGTGGTCTCCACCACAGCTGGATGTCTGTCCCCAGCACCTAGCACAGGCCTGGTACATAGTAGGCACTCAAATCATTGTTGAAATAACCAATCAATATTATTAAAATTCACACTTACTGAGTCTTTCCTGATTTGGGAAAGGATCCTTTGGAAATAAATGGCCTGTCTCCTAGCTTCTCTGTGGTTTTGGTTCATTTACTGCCGAGAGAACTGCCGGACATACGCCAAGTGCTTGCAGGGACACACTATGAGTCCTGGTTCTTGATGGGATTCAATACTTAAACTCTGAGAGAAAGCTCAACTGGATCAGGTTAAGGTTGTTCCCTACACTTGCCTGATCTCAGAAATCAGAGTTTTTCGGGTGAGTCTGACCATCAAGTGCGTTTGGGAAACAAAGAGTTGGAGAAACACACCAAACTAAGGCTTGATGTCTGAAAACAGAGCGGGCAAGGAACTCAGTTCTAATAGGGAACAGACACACGGTACAGCCTTTCTCAACACAGATGGAGCAAATACACGTGCTTCTGAACCCCGCCGAGCCCAATGGAACTGAATGAGGCTTCTTCATCTCACAGAACAATGGGGCAAAGATCAAGCAGTGGGTGAGTTACAGCGCCTGGAAGCTTCTATGTGAGCTCTGACAGCCCTGTGGATAGTCAAATGGCAAAATATAAGAAGTATGGGAGTTCATAGCACACCTCAAAATTCCTGCGGCTTCCTTCTGTTCGGGTGTAAATATGTATCTCTGTCTTGATATATAACTTCGTTTAGAAGGCAGCATAATTCAATGAGGAATCAGTGGACATGAAGGCAGATTTGGGTCGTGTTTTGGCCACAACAAGACAAGTTGCCTCCCCTTACTAATCTACAATATGGCCTATCTTGCCTGGGTCAGTGTTGTGAGAGTTAAACAAAATACAATGCTTTTCAAGAATGTAAAAATTATGCCAGGAAGTTATTGTGTAGAACTGTTGGCAATACATTCAAGAAACCTTTAATACTTGTCCTATGTCCGAAAACAAAGCATCCCTGTTACCAAGGGCAGCCAGCTCAGTGATACAAAGGGTTCACTTTGCAAGTTCAACTCTAATAACACAGAGAAACGCTGTGCCCTCATTTGGATATTTGCAGTCTTCCGATTCCAACAGCATTCACCCCCTTGTACACTGTGTGTCCACTCTCTCCTTCAAGTCCTAGTAAGAAATAAAGGTTTTCTGTTTTCTTATACCAGGTATCCGGGCAGTCTTACTTTGCCATAGAAATAATCCTATCCACAAAATCTTTATCATAGTATGACTCCTTCCTGGGCTGGTAAGAAATGCCTCTGGGTGAATCACTCGACTGTGAATGAAACTTAATTCCCTTTTATTATTCTTCGGGAATTTTTCCAGATTATGGGATCACAGAGGACAGGTTATAATAACAGATCTAAAGAAACGATACTTCATCATCCTAAATGAACTCTTCCCCCATCATATACGGGACAAAACTCCAATGGATGATAGGAGGGAGAGTCACAGACTTTGTCTATTAAAGGGTGTCCTCCAGCCGCACCATCAGGACAAAGGTTGTCCTGAGGATGCAGGTGGAAGAATAAAAAAACCTCATTCCGGAAGTCAAGGACAGGTTGTCAGCAGCTTCGCAGGCGTATTTGGCTAAATCCCAGCTAGCATTAGGGATATTGTTGGTCATTGCTATTACATCTCATGAATCTCCAGCATTTTAAGATTATTCAATCATAAGAAATATGAAAGGACTAGCAAGGAGAGAGCCCATACCAGACTAGGAAGAAGTTGGTCGTGGCATTTTTATAAGTAGACCATTGGAAACAATAGAAATATCCATCAGTAGGGAGTTGGCTAAATAAACTAATAAATCCATAGTATGGAATATATACAGCAGTTTAAAGATGAGTTAAATCTTTATGTACTAATATAGACTTTTCCCCCAAGATCCATTTTTTCACTAGGAAAAGCAAGTTTTAAAGCATTATGTGTAGAATGATGTCATTTATTAAAAATACATACCTCTTCTCTCCTGTAAGTTGACCCCGCAAAAAAATTTTTACATAATACAGGTCTTACTCATTCAGCTCAAAGCACTACACTAGTATTTGAACATTTTTAACTTGTTTATCCAATCAAAATATTATCCTTTACCATTTTCAGTATGAAAGGGAAACACCAACATCTGTAACATTAAATATAACTTTGACTTTAAATATATAAAGAGATTCAGGCTTTATTCTTAAAATTTGGGTTTTTTTTAAATTAGTTTCAGGTGTACAAAACAACATAGTGATTAAACATTTATATATCTCAGAAAGTGACAGCCCCAATTAGTCTATTACCCATCTGACACTGTACGTAGCTATCATAACATTATTGACTATATTCCCTATGCTGTACTTTATATCCCATGACTATTTTTTAAATTATAATTGACATTCAATATTATTTTATATTTATTTAATGTGTACAGTGTAATGGTTAGACATGTATATAATTTATGAAGTGATCCCCCAATGGTTACTAGGTGAGAGGGGGATTAGGGACTGGGTGAGAAAGGTGAAGAATTAAGAAGTACAAACTGGTAGCTACAAAATAGTCACGGGATATAAAATATAATATGGGGAATATAGTCAATAATATTGTAAAAACTATGTATAGTGTCAGATGGGTACTAAAATTTGTTTCTCTTTTAATTCCTTGAAGTCATCTACCTTTTATTATATTTTTCTTCGAGGTCTCTCCAAATAATGTGGGATGAGACTCAGCAAATCAGCAAGGGGACCCCTCATTCCCCTGATCATCAAGGTTTCGCACCACTCCCAACTCCACCGATGGTCACAGAGTAATTATCCACTC